TATTGAATCAAGGTTTTATAGTGCGTGTGAAAAAAATCCGTTTAAATATTACGAATACTTCTCAACCTGCTGCCAAAAGTGAGCACATGATAAATCTTAACATCCAATACCGCGTCCTGGGAACACGTGTCAAATACCTGGATTACATTCTCCAGTATTGGCGTCAGTATCCATATGTTGTGAGTGTGACAAATATCGGGCAGTTGATACAAATATTGCGTTCAAATACTCAGTCCGGTTTTTTTTACAATAAACCTAAACCATTTTTCCAAATATAGGATCTAAACCCACTCTTAGGTCATGCAAAAATTTGGTCAAAATGCAATCTAGTCAACTTTTTGCCGTCAGTTGGTCTTCAACCACTATATTTCCTGATATTATCTTACAAGAATAACCTCTAAGATCATCATCTGGTACACTCTTGGTCACTGAGTAGGCGCATATCTAGTCTAGGTAGATAATACGACCATCCTCCAACACAAGTTATTGCAATAATAGGAGACTGTTTGGTTTGTTGACATACGATCCCCGTTCAGGCGTCACCACGACCGTCTTCTCTCAGTCCTATTGAACTTTCGTTGTTCATGATGTGTCAATACACTGAACATTAAGATCCAACGATCTTTGTTTACCTTCATCCTCTCAATCGATCGGCCGCTGTATTCAATCATCTGCTTACACATTTTTCGATTCTTCATACCAATTCCACTTCGGTCCTTCCAAATTTTTAATAACGTAAGTGTTTGCGTCATTGAGGAAGTCATGTAACGGTATGAATCGTTATATAACAATTTATACGAAATTGTTAATAGAATATAACTATCAGAGTTAAATTCTCAGAATATTGTCAAAGGACAAATATTCTGCAGCACTTACGAGTAGTTCCTAATTGGTTGATATAGGCCATTATATCAACCAACGAAGACGCGCCACGACAGACGCACGCAATGAGTGGTGAGCAGATAGTTGATACGCACATTTGTATTCAGACATAGTTAGATGAGGATAAATAGTGATTAAATTAACAGACATTAACTATACTGAATACAGTTCTACTTTTTACTTTAACCAAGTACTCGCTTCTTCTTACCGTCTTCCTCTAAACGTACGAGTGTACGTGAAGTTCCGAGGCACCGCCTTATTCTGTCATCAGAATAAGTAGCTTGTACTGTCACTTGTACTGTCACCAGTACAAGCTTCAGGGTGCCCCGTCACACCTGGTAGCACTTCGTAGTCCGTCCAAGGACCACGTTCACATCTAACATGAATATGTTGGATGATGAAGATGACCAAAGCTTTCACGCTACGCGTGACGGCTACTCCCATTTGAGCGATGTCGAATGGGATGCGGTTGAACGAATGGGTTCAATCATGGGCATCCATGCTGTTAGCGTCATGCTAGAGGCTCTTAATAGAGATGCCCAACATGCTACTATCGCCAAGTTCATTCAAAATGAACTTGACGCCGAACGCGAGAAAGTAGCCTTGCTTCACCAACTAGGTTCTCAACAAGCAGAGTTGTTGAGAGAACAGAGTGCTCAACATTTTGAATTGTTGAGACAGCAGCAGGGCTGCTGCTGGTGGGTCGATGCACTCGCGTTGACCCGAGACCTTGAAGATTGACATCTCCAAGTAAAGGGGAATCGAAGAGGACTTCCTCTTGAGATGGTTCGTCGAATTGGATGACGCCATAAGGGCGAGTCGCATCGACGATGGGGAAATGCAAGTTGCATTTGCCCAGTCAAATCTGGCAGGCCGTGCCAAGACTTGGGCACTGGGGCTCAAGTTGCACGACCCATACGCGTTTGGGTCGTTGGAAGTCTTCAGGTCGCGGATCAGAAAAACGTTTGAACCGCCTAGAGCTGAGTTCAGAGCTCGAACCGAACTCTTGAAGCTTAGACAGGGTAAGCGTGATGTGCACGCTTACGCGCAACATATACGACATCTCACGAGTTGTATAAGTTCCAATCCGGTGGATGAACACACGTTGGTTTCGGTGTTCATGCAGGGTCTTGCGGATGGTCCCGTCAAGACTCACCTGTTCCGACTTGAACTAGATTCACTAGAACAAGCCATTTCCATTGCGGAACAGGAAGACTTCAGTCTGAGACAGGCTCGCGCCAGCTCGACATCATATCGTCAACCGAGACGATATGACAGCGGAGGTCCAGAGCCGATGGAACTCTGTTATGTAGAGAGCGAGAAGGCTCGCTCTACAGACTACAAGAACTTGCAGAAATGCAATAGATGTCAAAAGACAGGACACTACGCTTGCGAGTGTAGTGCCCCTCGTCCAGTGTCTCTCAACACTGGACGTAGTGACCGTCCACCCATGAGAAAGGGGCAGGGACGCGGGTCCGCTTTTAATGCAAAGACGCGACAACGGGATGGACCGTCAAAAAACGGACAGGATCAGTAGGTGCGGAGCACCCTACTGGTCCAGCAACGTCAAGAGAATTTGTGGGCCTCTTGATGCAGGTTGCTCCCAACACACAAACGTTGTGCGTTGCTGCTCTAGGTAATGAGGTCTCACTCATTACCTTGAAACTCGAAGTGACGAATAAGTTTTCCCTTCGAGCTCTAGTCGATTGTGGGGCGTCCAACAATCTTGTGCAACGCCAATCGCTAGAAGATGGTCACTTTAAATTCAGTGAATGTGACACACCTCCTACGAGGATGACGGTACGTCTTGCGACAGGCGCATCCGTAACTGTCATGAAGCGTATAGTGAAGATCCACTATACGCTAGAAGATATCCAATATGACGATGACTTTATCGTATTGGATTTGGATGACAAATTTGATGTCTTCCTTGGAATACCGTGGCTCAGAAGGTACGAACCACGGGTAAACTGGCAACATCGAACAGTAATGATGCCTGCCGCTTGTTCATCTGATGGCCATCTGATGAACGTTTTGGAGCGTCCACAAGCGTGTGGATGCACAACGAGTGAGTGCGATGGCCTCACTTGTGGTACGGTCGTTAGTACGACTGCACGAAATCTTAGTGTACCAAACGGTTACACTTCGGAGCAAAGTTCCGGCGGCTGTGAGGAAACACAGGCTGCGCCGAAGGTCCACCACTCGAATAAGTCGAGTGGACCGGGACAAAGATGTATCCCTAGCGGGGAACATCTAGAAGAGAAACAATCGATCGTCAGGTTAAGCGAAACGATAATCCTAGATCGACTGGAGAGTCTTTCGTAGAGGATCTCGCTGTGGTTGCGCAACCACGGCTAGAGGAAGTTAAGGGAATAAGTCCCAAGATTACAAAATACGGCGGAAATAAGTTCCCCGAAACCCGCGGGAATAAGTCCCCGGGAAGACGAAGGAATAAGTCCTTCGAGGCCTGAGGGAATAAGTCCCCAGGAAACGACAGAGACATTGATTGTCATAGTCAATAACGGATCAAGTGTAGGCGCTTATACACTCGATCTGATTGCGCCTCCGAAGTTGACTTCGGAGATCACTCAGTTGCCAACTCTCGAACATAAAAGGTTCTTGCGTGATCTGCGTAGTGGCAAAGTCAAGCAGATCTGCGTACTCGTCGCTGACGACGAGTGTGTAGCCGACATAAGGTCAGCAACAGTGTTCACTGAGAACGAGAGAGTTCTCAGTAGTTCATCTATGGACGAGAGTGTCCTAGATGAAAAGACACGAGTTGAGCGATATGACTCCCAATCGTGGGAATCGCTCAAGACAAATCCTCTCTATGAAGATTTGGTTGAATTCAAGAATGTATTCCCTGAAACTGTTCCGTGCCAATTACCGAAGGATAAAGGTATTCGACACGAGGTCGAGCTTAAACCAGGCTCGAAGTACTGTGTCATGAAGCAGTGGCCACTGCCTCGTGAACAAGTACTTGCGATCGACAAGTTCTTTGCCGATCGTTTAGCTTCGGGCCATGTGAGGGAATCAACTTCCCCACATAGCTCTCCGACCTTCTGTGTTCGAAAAGCAACAGGAGGCTGGCGGATAGTGCATGCATTTAACAAGTTGAATGCTGCAACGGTACCGGCTCGGACGCCGATACCAAGGAAGGACGTAATCATTGATGGTATGTCAAAGAGTACCATCTTTTCGTCCATGGATTTGATGGATGGCTTCTATCAAATCCTAATGCGAGAAAGGGATATACCCTATACCGCAGTGAGCACGCCTAGTGGCAGGCTCTGGGAATGGCTAGTAATTCCACAAGGGCTTAGTAATGCCCCTGCCACGTTCAACAGATGTGTATCACATCTGTTGAGACCAGTACGAGAATTCGCGCCGAGTTATTTCGATGACGTATTCATTCATAGTCGAGCTATGGATGGATGGAAAGTCGGACGTTGAGGTTCACAGGTACCACGTCCGACAGGTCTTACAATCATGCGAAAGCATCAATTGTATGCAAATCTTAAGAAGTGTATATTTGCAGCAAGCGAAATACCACTTCTTGGGTGCATCGTTGGTAAGAACGGTGTGCGTCCTGATCCCGAAAGATCAAGGCGATCACCGACTGGCCTGTGCCAGTTGATGTCAAAGGTCTTCAAAAATTCCTTGGGCTAGCGGCGTATTTGCACAAGTATTCACGCAATTACGCCGAGATGATTATGCACCTCTCTCGTTTGTTGAAAAAGAACGAGAGGTGGCTATGGAACGCTGAATGTCAGCGCTCCTTTGATGGTATCAAGCAGAGCTTGATACAATCCCCAGTCCTAGCAATAGCCGATCAGGACAGGCCATTTCATGTGGTCTGTGATGCCAGCGATTTCGCAATCGGCTGTGCATTAATGCAGTACGATCTTGAAGGCGTTGAACGCGTCGCTATCTGCTCAGTGCGTCAGCTGCAACCAGCTGAGCGGAACTATCCAGTGCATGCTAAGGAAGACTCCTTGCCATGAAGTATGCACTCGCGAAGTTCAGAGTCTATCTAATAGGAGATAGACCCTTCATTGTTTACACTGACCATGCGTCATTACGCACGGCAGTGAACAGCCCCGCACCTTTCACAACGAATGGCGCGGTGGTTTTCATTCTTTGCGGAATACAACTTTACGGTCGAGTACAAACCAGGACGACTTAATGTCGTCGCTGATGCACTCTCACGTCGTCCAGACTTTGAAACAGTCGCGAAACCCAACAGTGAGACAGTCACTGTTGCAGTTATGACGTCCGCAGTCTCATCTTCAACGTTGCGTGATGATGTGAGGCGGGCATACGCCCAAGATGGTGAGATTGTGAAGTTGTTGACACATCTCTCCCAACCATCTCGAGAATCGTTGAAACGGTTGTCGTCTGCGTATCGATCTGCATCAGATCGATACACTACTCGTAACGGTTTACTGTATTATACAGCCGTTTCTGGTGACACACCACGTGTTGTCATTCCAGATGATACTGATCTGCGTTTGCGGATCATGTTCGAGTATCAAGATGCTCCTCTAGGAGGACATCGTGGCCGGGAGAAAACATTTCTCACGGTGAGTCGAGACTTTTACTGGCCCCGCCAGTATCAGTTTGTGCGAAAGTATGTTCGCGCATGCGAAAGTCTGTCAACGAGTGAAGTCAAGTCCTTCACTGCGTGCACCTTTACAGTCTACCGGTTACGGCTGAGTGCTGGGAATCCATCTCAATGGATTTTGTCTTCGGGTTACCCAAAGACGCACGCGGGAGTACGGGTATTCTCGTATTTGTTGACAGATTCAGCAAAATGGTACACCTAGTGGCTGTACCAGAGACAATCACGGCAAGTGGCTGTGCTTGTGTCTTTATTGACACCATCTTTCGACTTCATGGGTTGCCCCGTGAACTCGTATCAGACAGAGATTCACGCTTCACTGCTGATTTCTGGCGTTCCGTGTTCAAATCACTCGGAACGCGCTTGAAGATGTCGACATCTGATCATCCAGAGTCAGATGGTCAGACGGAACGTGCCAATCGTGTCCTCGAAGAGATACTTCGAGGATACGTACACTCCTTTAAGAGTTGGAGTGATTTTTGCCAATGGTAGAGTTTGCCATTAACAACTCGGTGCATGCGTCCACGACACATACACCGTTTTACGTGAATGGCTTGCGCCATCCGCGTGTACCCACCTTACTAGAGTGTAACTCTGGTTCAAGGGGGGGGACTCGCGCTAGCAAAAACCGAATTGGTTCACGCTCATCACGCTCTGACGAAGAGGTCATTGCGTTTGATGCCGATATCGATAACATCGATATTGAAGAAGATGATGCCAGTGAGAGTGCGGAAGCCCTCACTGAAGAAAAGATTGATGTTGCTGCAGTGCACTCACAGCGCACTGAAGCTAACGAGTCATCAGATGAGTTCATACTGGCTCGTGAAACGGTAGTCCGTTTTGTGCAAGACTCCATCGCCGAAGCGGTGGATAAGCAAAAGCAAAACGCTGGCAAGAATGGAAGGGCGAACACTCTTTTATTTAATAAAGGTGACTTAGTCCTACTGTCTACGGTTAATGTACCAAAGCATGTAGTGACTAACTTGGGTAGCAGTAAACATCTACCCAAGCACATCGGCCCATTTCGTGTATTGCATCGCCTAGGCAACGCATACACGATCGAGTTGCCACGTAAGATGCGAACGCATCCCACGTTTTACGTTGGTCGGCTTAAGCCGTACCATCAGTACGCTGCTTCTTCCGATGAAGAACGCCCTTGCGCTCAAGCATCTCGCAGAGAGCCTTGTGCTCCCGATGGTGGGCATCAACAAGGGTCTGAGAGCAGCCATCTCATCCCGAGACCGATCAACAATCCCACGAGCTACACTTAGCTCGTCACGAAGAGATGTCAGAGATCTCTCGTTCTCAAGCTGAGCAAAGGCAAACTCAGCTCGATGCTTCAAGACAGTGTCCGCCATTTGGAGACGCCTGTCCTGCTCATGCTCGAGATCGCCGCGTAACCCTTGCGTTACGCGATCAAAGAAGCTCTCGGGAACACACGGATCCCCATGATCGTGTGGAGAGCGTCTTCCCTCCTCCTCCACCTCCATTAGAGGACTCTCGCGGTGGCCAGCGCTATCTAGTTGAGCAGCTGTTGAACCACCGCGACGTGAACGGACGTCGGACGAGTCATCTCGTCCGGTGGCGCGGCTATCCCCCGTCCTGGGATACTTGGGATCCCCGCTCCCAACTGATGGTTGACGTACTGTGTCTGTTCGAGCAGTACGATGCGGCACATCCTGTGCCGCAGAAGGACCGCCGGAGAAAGTCTTCCCGGCACGGTCGTAAAGGGATTTCAGGTTGTCAATCCCTTCGTACATCTCAGTAGAGATACGTACGCGCCACCACGGGCTGGTAAGGAGGTAAGCCTCCTTAGGTGCTCGTGCAGAGTTATTCACACAACATGAGCACGAGTCTCCCCATGAGAGGCAGGGTAATCCTTTTTCCCTTGACAGACGATGCAGCTTGTAGCGTGCACCTGTCGGGGTTCGCTTTTCAAACTTATCACGAGCTTTGATAAGTTTGTCATTCCAAGCGTCACGACCTACATCCTCAAGGTTATGGATGTAGGCGTTCCACGCCTGAAGCAGTGAGGGACCATCACGTTTGTGATTCCCACTGTACCATCGATGTCTAAACAAAGTATCGATGAAGAATTCATTCTCAGCCCGATAGTTTTTCGCGCTGGGGTCAAGGTGATGGATCCTTGATGTAACGGGGTGAATCGTTACATAACAATTTGTAAGAAATTGTTAATAGAATATAACTATCAGAGTTAAATTCTCAGAATATTGTCATAAGGACAAATGTTCTGTAGCACTTACGAGTAGTTCCTAATTGGTTGATATAGGCCATTATATCAACCAACGAAGACGCGCCACGACAGACGCACGCAATGAGTGGTGAGCAGATAGTTGATATGCACATTTGTATTCAGACATAGTTAGATGAGGATAAATAGTGATTAAATTAACAGACATTAACTATACTGAATACAGTTCTACTTTTTACTTTAACCAAGTACTCGCTTCTTCTTACCGTCTTCCTCTAAACGTACGAGTGTACGTGAAGTTCCGAGGCACCGCCTTATTCTGTCATCAGAATAAGTAGCTTGTACTGTCACTTGTACTGTCACCAGTACAAGCTTCAGGGTGCCCCGTTACAAGTCATCATTGGTCGCACTTACGCCAATCATTGTGTCGTACCTCTGTGCTGATTTATTTTTTAGATCAGAAATCAATTTAAATTCGACTGAAGTCCATCAACCACCAATGTTTACCCTTACCATGTAAAATCACCAACACAGTCGACGCTAGGCGCTTTGTCCACGTCGATGGATAGATGGACGACGGCGGGTCGAATGTGCTGATGTCGATTCCAAACTCGGCCATCATCACTAGGGCTCGCGAAAGTGGCCGTTCGCTGATCAAGTGATGACCATTCAATAATTAGGACTAATGGATAGCCGGCACAGTTTCGGATGGGCAAAACAAAAACAAGCCGGAAGTGTGAGTGGATCCAGGCAACAAAATGACTGGATGTGAAGTCTCCGCGCCGGACAGCGCCCAGGTAAGTATTGCCATATCGCAATTTGCCTCGCCCTCAGCAGCCCACTCCTCCCCCTCGTCATCTCCTGCTTCTCTTCATCCCTCTTGCCAGCCATGAAACTGATCATCCTCGACATCGTTGCCATCACCGCCTTCCTCGCCTACGCCCAGAAACTGTCCCTCGTGTCCGCTGCATCTGCTGTCCCACTGCCCGCCTTGACTGCCTCTTCCACCCCCTTCGTCGCTCCCGTCGAGAGGAGGTTGAGACCTTCAGTCGTCCCCGGGAACGAGGCGGCTAACGGTCTTGCTGATCGAGTGAGTCAACTTTTCCTTGGCGGGGCGAGCAAAGCGGTGGGCGCGACCTTCAATGGTCTCGCTCGTTCGCACGAGAAGTTCAGAGATGTCACAGTCCTCCGACACTATAGAGTCTTTGACAGACAACTGGCTAAAAAAGGAGAAGACCACGTAATACTTATGACGAAGTTTAACTTGAAGGAGGAGAATTCGAAGTGGAATGCGGCCGGTAGAATGTATCTCAGACGCCTGATGGAGATGTGGAAAGACAAGTCTTTGAGCGAGATCGTCGAGATTCTAAAACTCCAAGATTACGGTTTACAACCCAAAGACAGCGGTAATGAACTCAACGTTCTGGTCGAGCTCGACAGGTTGGTCGAGAAGCGCAAGACCAAGGCACAGGACAAGATCGAGGCTTTGGAGAAGCAGCTGAACCATCCCAAGCCTGGTGACTCTCAAGCGGACCTACAGGCAAAGATTGATGCGGAGAAGAACATAGCGAACGAGTCGCTTATGTCGGAGCTGGAACCTTACTATCAGGGCAATGAACTGTTCCAATTTCTGTATGCATCGAAGAACCGTAACAAAGATCATCTTCTAACGCGTCTGTATGAACACTGGAAGGCCATAGGCCGGACCGCTGTCGAGGTAGAGCAAACGCTACGCGCCATTGACCCATCGGTGTCCGAGAAAGAAGTCGTACGCGCGATCAAGGCGGTGGGCTCCGTGAAAGGACGCTAGTATGTCGCTTGATCATCTGTAGTCGCTGGGCAAGGAGCTGCGGATTCAACAAGCGTCCGGATGGCGTACACGGTCGTGCTAGTAGGAAGGTGTGGTCTTGTGGCGCAAGGTGAGCTCGAACGTTCGTGCGCGACGATTGCTGGCAGTTGAAGGCTGAAGAAGAGTGCATCCGGGCGCGACGCTACTGCGAGGGAAGAAGGTGACGACGGTGGGTGTGTTGATTCTGCTTGACCTGCGACGTTAGCGTTGTGATTGATGGAGTGACTCATGGTGTGTGCTGTTGCTTTGACTGTTTTCCTCGTCACGAAAGTAACGGCTGGGTATATCCGACAACCCATTGCATGCTCTACAGGTCGAGGCATCACGACCGCGTTACGGCTGTAGCAGAGTGCGATAACACGTTAATAAAATTCATATTGTTCATGCATTTCAAACGTGGTTGTCATCTCGGTCGATGTCATGTCAATTTCGTATCACGCCACCATGTCCATTATATCTGTGCTCTCCTTCTAGGAAGTAATATTACGTGGTGGCAGCAACGTCACACATCTTTTCACTTTGCTCTCACTTCGCTGCCTCTTGGTTCGTAATAAAAGAGCTTGTTATGGTTGGCTTTTATGATCTAATTGTAAATGTAGTAGCTATCGTTGTTGTCACTTACATTTGTCAAGCAGTTTTAAGCTGACCGATGAGATGCCCATTATCGGTCGGTCAGCTTAAAACTACTTGACGATCACACAACGGCATACCTAATTGTGATATGAGCCGATAATCTCGACCTTGAGATCATGGCAATTTACGAAACGAGCCTACAGTGCGTATAGTCGAATTGGAGTCAACAGGTGCAACTACAATAGCAGAGAGAACTCCCTCGTGCAGTGACATCGTCCCTCTATGCTATTTTACCATGCAGCAATTAGCAGAAATACCGACTTTAAGTTACAGCTAAATGTACGATTGCTCTGATGGACGTCCTTGGTTTGATGGCAGCCAGTTCAGCTGCCTAAGCACTCTTCTCGAACTCCAAATAGCTCGCTTGATAGTTCTCACATATATTGACAGCTACGTTTATACCAATCAAGCGCTAGCTACAACCGAGGCAACTCCTTGCTCAAGGTTGATGAGCCAAGTCATGCAAGTCCAGTCTTTACAGGACCAAGTACACTGCCTCTCACTGTTATTGCTGTCCCTATTACATGGTGCACTGCAGCCGTAGACTTACCACAATGGAGTCCGTGTAGAGATAACAACAAGCACGGAAGAATACGCGCTGGAGACATGTACAATTGGTAACTAGTGGCTATAGCAGTGAGTCAGTCAAACGAGTGATGTGAATAGTCAATCGAATCAGGCACGGCGTCAGGACGAGTTTGAAAGCCTAGCGCTTGCACGATAGTCATCTGCTGAGGCATCACGCTGCGAATCGAGCGATCTCTTTTGATATCGTGCTTTAATCACGACTCAATCACCTGCGCGTTCCGTGTCTGTCTCCACACATTTCTCCCAAAGTCGAGCACACAGGAGTTTGCACCATAACTTCATGTGCACAACGCTGGTTGTTTTTGCGTGCTTCTGCGCCCGTTCCATATCTCTCTGTTTTTCTCTTTGGAGGCGTAAGTAGTAAGTAGTTCCCTGCTGAAATGCGTAGCATGTGCCTGTTTTACAGCCATGCGCGCAATCACCACTGGCCGTCCTTTGTGCATAGAATCTTCATTAAGACGACGCCCGCGCATGAGATCGACAAGGGGCTCACACGGGGAGGCTCGTGGCATCCGGACATTTGCAATGAGCGACGAGTTGGCTCGGCACGCCGCCTCACGAAAAAGGCTAAGTTGCGTTGTGTCGCGAAGCGTTTGCGGGGCGTAGCTTATTTTTTCGAGCCATGAACTTAGCACGTTGCTGAAGTATAGCGGCTGGGATGCAAGTACCGACCTTTGGCTTGTAGTGACGCTTTTGCCAAATAGTACATTCCCGCGCTAAATTGCATTGACTGTTCCTATACAATGGCGCAGATTCGTTGAGCAGAGGACAGGAAACAGGGTCACGACGCGGCAACACGACATGTACCATGCAGCAAAGAATAGAACAACAGTTGCACAAAGGCACTAGCATGTCGAGAGTACGTGGAGACCGTGCGGTATCCTTTCGCACATAACTGAGACACTAGCGGATCGGTTTTAAGACGTTGTGGCAGCGATCGGGTGTGTATGGACCCAAAGGTGGAACATTACCTGACGAAGACCTGGGTTGGCAGGAATGCATCCGTCTACGACAGTCACGTTCGACATTCACGGGATCACAAATAGTTTTGGGTTTCTCGTTGCGCCACATCCAAGCAATCGCAAAGAGGGAGCATGGAACGCAGTGATAACTATTGATGGTGCCAGACTATGTGAAATGCGTCGAGTTGGTAAATCGAGAACTTTAGAGAGTCCCCACCTTCCGCTGAAAAAGCCACCACCAGCTCCCAGACCTCTCGGTTAAACATACTGGCTTAAGGGATTCCAGAGATCATGCACATACGCTTGACCTTTGATTGTGCAATTGGAGCACCCTTTTCTCTCTCGTACCTCGAACACTGCGAATATCGGTACATCCCGCTTGATGCGAGCCCGAAGGGTAGAGCTTTTCGTGACTGTGCGCAAGGTGGATGCCGAGCCTTTTAAATCGTACTTATCTGCGCTTGTCTGCCGGTGTGCAAATAACGCCCGGTGTACCTTTCACGTCGTTCTAAGTGCGACGTAGTCTGTGTCCTCTATTTAGGTATCACGCTTTGATGAGGTCACTGATTTGTGACTGCAAGGGTGTAATCTTTACACTCGCGCATGTTTGGCTTACAGTGATGGAAAGGGCGGACAGAGTACTAAGAAGCAAATTCTAGACAGACAACCAGGGGCAGCGCGGTAGTCGCGCATTTCGCAGACAGTAAGTGTGAGTGGTTTTGATCTGGAAAACTTGCAATAGTAAGAGGTCAAGGTCACGGTTTTTATCGGTAGCAGTGGAAGATCCTTCCCTTTAGTTTCTCTTTATCTCGGAAAAGTATGTGTCGTCGACCGCATTTTGCGGCCGACAGCGTAGTCGAGCAGGGTCGTCCTTTGTTTGATCTTTCCAACATCTGTTTTTTGAACACATCAACAGCATAAAGAAGTACCTTAAGCTCACAAAAATTCATTGACTGTTTCATCGTTTAAATACACAACACACGACCCATTTCCTGGTCGCCAACATCTGGAAATGGAAGTTTAATACACAGAATCTAGTTCATTTCCTCAGACGAAATTGCTATCATCAAAGGACGAGCTCCAGAGCTTGCGCCCCTATCTTATATCTGGCCCCCAATTGCTCTTGGTCGACTTAGGCCAATTATGTGCGGACATTGGTGCACCTGACTATACTCCCTAAACGGTCGCAATCAGTGACTCACAAAAGAGTGACACCCGTATGATGTTTATCTACCTACAACAAGGAGGCAGGCTACATCGCACTTAGTACGACGTGTAAGGTCACCTAGCATTTTTTACAGACAGGCAGAAAGTAAAACTGAACGCTCGGCATTTATTGCGCACAGTGCGAATGCCTTCATCCTATGGCTCGCGATAAAGTGGTCTAGCTTCGCATACTGAAAGGAAGACAGACCACATCGAGCAGAAGCTCGGAATTGATCAATTTTGGTGCTGCTGATGTGCGCGGTTGTGACTGTTCCTTGTTCGCCACATCACTTGAATTACTGGGAGTCAGATAATATGTACACGTTTTCATGAATATCTCGTTAACGGACAAGCTTGAAAGACGCAAAACACCAATCTTGCCCTATCGAAGGTACCTGAGCCTGTCTGTGAGTCTCGAAACACCCCGGCTCTAATCGACGGACCTCACCGATGACTACCGCCAAGCATCTCGACATTTGTATTCTGATTGCACCCCCTCCGATCACTAGTAGTATCACCCAAACTGATCATTCAACCGGAACCTTTAAGTCGACAGCTTGACAAGATTTTCGAAGTTTCTGATTACTACTGTCTGCTCGTTTGCAAAACTGTGTCGCCAGGGCATTGGTCATCAATCTGGCGACACCTGTCGACCTTCAAGGTGAGTAGCGTAGGAGAACACGATGACTAGAGATGCATTGACGGAGCAGTTTTAACAACAAATATTCACTTCTCATTTTAACACGAAGTCAACCAACGGGAATGTATCTCTGCAAGCCACGAGCGTGTCAAGCACTCGTCCTCTACCATCTGTTGATAATTCTGATAATTGGGTCTCAAGAGCTCACTTCCGAAATTGATCCGTACCTCAACACATAAACGTATCCATGGCCTCGACTCCATTCCCTACTGCCCTTACCAACGACAACAACAATAAAGATAACAACAAAATAACAACAACAACAACAACAACAACAACAACAACAACAACGATAACAACAACAACGATAACAACAAAAATAACGACACTATTCTCAATGACGACACTATTCCCAGTGACGACACTAGATTTAATAGCAACAACATCAGCAGCGTCCATCGAAACGCCACGATCAATTGTGATTCGTGCACCTGGTACCACAACAACGAGTGCCTTGAGCCACGCACGTGTTATGATTGTCTGAACGTACAGTTACCAAATGACAATTACACGGTCAATCCGTCCGGTGGCTGTGTCAGCCAAAGCACGTACGACTCGTATCTTGCCGAACGTTTCTACTACGTGCCTTTACACATCGCTACTTTTCATCATGTTACTATCGCTACTTTCACGCAAATGATTCCGTCTGTGCAACGTGTCGCACGCAAATGAAGCGACAAGAGGGTCCAAACGATCCCAATGATTGAGTACTCTTCTCCCATCATACTGTACGGGACGCAATGGCTGCGTGTGCATTGCCAATTGTGAAGTACCCAATCGGCACGACGTCGTGGTCACTAACCAGTGCTCAGGTACGCACGACGACGGTGAAATCCCATTCTCAGGAGGAGAAGAAAGTACGGGACGCAATGGCTGCGTGTGCATTGCCAATTGTGAAGTACCCAATCGGCACGACGTCGTGGTCACTAACCAGTGCTCAGGTACGCACTGACGACGGTGAAATCCCATTCTCAGGAGGAGAAGAAAGTACGGGACTGTCCATGCCAATACGCGTGACAATCTCGGTCATTGCCGGTCTTAACGTGGCTTTGTTGCTGGTGTTTGCAACTTGGGGTGGTCGTCGTCTCTCAAAGTGTCGGAGCATTGTGCAGCGAGGTATAAATGAGATGGACACGTAAATGGATAAAAGCGTTTTGGCCTGGTTTTTCTTGACAGTTGACTGACAAGTACTCAAGTTTTTTCTGCTTGGGCTTACCTTCATGCAGTTGCACGTCGAGAACGTCGACTGAGGCCAGAACGTGCAAGAGTGCAGCTTTCGTTAGCTGGATGGAAATCGCTACAGCAAAGACTCATTGATGCTGAGGGACAGAGCATGGAAGATGGAAATACAGAGCAGCTGTTTCATAGTTGCGAAGGTTCATTGGCGCCCGTAAAGAGTGTGTATGCAACGGAGAATAGAGATGGAGAAGAAATGATGATTTTGCTGATATGCATGGAGAATTGGAACCGTGTGGGCAGATTAACATCGATGTAACGCGAGGAAGCGTAGAATCAGGTAGTGAAGAAGAGGAGAAGAGGTTGTCAGCTCGATGAAGAGGTTGCAAACCTCTTCATTTCGCGATGGCTGGTACGATGGAGGGTTCCCTCCAATAAAATCTACTACAAAGAGTCACTAGAAAGGTGCTAGTTAACGTAATAAGAACATCAATGCACTACAATGAAAGCAACGGATAGCGGTGTCCTGATGTTAAATAGTATGGATGAGTTTTATCAGTGAACAAGGTTACATCACGCGTTCATTGATTAGGCAGAACGAATTTGCCATCAAACGTCAACTTCAATGTTGAACCAGAGCAGCAAAAGCATTCAAGAAGGGTCCGGTGTACTTATTGTATCGATCCTCACCCATTTATAAAGCTGTATCATTCGTCCATTCGCATGCGTTCGAGTGACCGAGCAAAGGCGCCACGTTATGTACTATCCGTACAACGAACGTGCGCAAAACATCACAGTAATCGCCCGACGTTGTAGGATTCAAATGGTACACTAGTCGCAAAGAATAGAATACGCGCAAAAAAGGAGGGGGACTTACCTTCTGCGTGCTAGGTGGAATAATTTGCGCAACAGTATATCATTCAAACCGGTCTTCATCAAAACATGCTGCCCGTTGCTGTTGAGCCAACACGGTAATCAACGTAGCATCAAACACCTTATTACTACAAATCTAGACTGACAGCAGCATAATTCAAGAGTAAACAATTTTGAAGACGCACACACGCTAAGCTGAAAACTGATCACCTAGCAGTTCAAGCTGCAATGGCAAGCAAATGGTACGGTAATCCATCATCAAATCATCGTGCATATTTTGCTCAGTTGAAGCGTATATGCTGGATACTGAAATCTACGAAGGAAATAAATGCTGCTGTAGTCGTTCAACAGTCTGAAGGGCATCTTTGTCGATCACAAACTTGCTGTGTTTCCGCAGCCGGTTCTTGTTGGGCGTTTCGTGAAAGTAAAGACCAAAGATTTTTTCAGAACAGAGATTGGAGTAGTCAATCATCGAAATTCCCCACAAAAAATTCTGCAATGCCTTTGCAAAGAATGAACAGCGAAGTAGAGCTTAGCAGGGTTTGGATATTTTACTTGTGTGTTGGCATGCATATTGCCGTGAAAAAAGTAAGCAAATGAATGACGACTACAGACGCAAAAATTGGTGTAGTTTAATTTTTTTGCGTGTGTATGAATTGACACTCAGAAGTGATCGCAACGTAAGATTATCTCAACTATCTGCTACCCTACTCGATTGTCGGACTTGAATAGGAAGTGCAACGCCTGCTTGAGGCTACATCCTTTGGACAAGGATAGTAAGTCGACTAATACCGGAAGCTATCATCCGGCTTTAAGCGTTCGCAGTGAAGCGACCAAAATGAATCCGGCTATTTGTTACGCAGAAACGCTTTGATTAAAAAGGCTCCAAACCAATAAATCTAACGGACTTATGCGAAAATTGCATTCAGTCATGTGTTGAGCAAGGTGTTTAAACAAACGTAACCATATTAGTGCGCTACCTAATTATGAGCAGAGAAAAGGCGCACGAACCCGCATATGAAGCAATGCCAAATTGTACGTTAATTCGTCGTTGGAACACAGTCATCTGTTATACTATGTTTTGTATCGATATGAGTTTACAAAATGGATAAAAATAGATAGTAGAGCATGTGAAGTTTAATGTAGTTAAATCTATAGAGCATGTCTTTGTAGAACGCCTTCCACGATATTTAATGTTGAATCTAATAACAAAGTTGTACGCAGCCGGAATTTTTACACGTTGTTTCATGCAATTGTATGCAAAAAGTTGACAGCGGTTATAATTAATAAGCTAGTATTCCTCTACATCGTCGTTATAATGTAAGAAAGGGTCCAGTCCAGAGATATTTTTTTGAAATTATGCCTGATGCTTCCACACATCATACACAATACTCGAGTTTGCTGGTTGTTTGATATCATGTCATATCGATGACCGCAACAGCGTGAAGTACGTCGACACAAATTTTTAATGTACTACGACACGAATGTTTGCAATTATTCAAACTTCTGCCGTATCAAGATTGAAAGAAAACTGATATGATTATCAAATAAGAAACATGGCCAACTGTTTTATGGTCTCGGGTTGCCATTGTGAAGGTCTAGTCTGGAGCAATAGATGCCAAGCTCATTAAGCTAGTCACTTTCATTATAAATTCGCCTCAATATACACTCGTTAATTAATGATGGTCAGTGTTGTTCGTTTACATGGGAAGATTTGAAAACCTTTACCGATGCAGTCTTTATGGTTTTAGCAGGCAGCATGTAGGTGCATATTATCAAGAACGACAACTCAGTAGACTTACAGCTTTTATTTTATGCTCGGCATTCATTAATAATTATATTAAACACACGTGATATACATGGGGTAGTCATGCGAAAGGGGGCCTGCAGTGATACTGTACGTCTATTCTGGTAAATAAGAGCGGAGGTGTAGTGACGTATCCTTGCAGCAAAATTTACTTATATACAAGCACTTAATTGTACTTCGTTTCGAAATCAAGACGAAGTTAAAGGAAGCGACAGAGTAAGCAAATATAAATAGCCATTGATGATAGAGCAATATACGCATCGGTGTCTGGTGATATTGCACCTTTTCGAATAAAATTAGAGCGTAAGCAAAGTGACTATGTCTATGTGACCATTCCTTTGTGGAAGTTGTACTGCTTTCGCACTAACCTGTGCAAAAGAAAGCTTCCTACAATCATTATTAGGCTATTCATGACACATACAACCAGCAAAAATATAATTTTAAAGATATTGTTGACGCTGATCACAGGGTTTCAGAGGAAATCAGCAGAAAATTCACGCGCGTGTGCATGCAGCAGATGGCAAAAGCGAGTACAGCGACAAAAAATTTGCCTTTCTTGATGCACGTGAGATCTCATCTGTTCGACATTCAGCAATCAACACTAAACGAACGTTCGAAACTGCTTGCCTGCATACACAAAATCATGTGAATCTTGGTTGCTTTGGGGTTTTGCCCCGTGTTTTTTTCGTTCTGTGACCAATCTATATTAGAGCTTACGACTTGTAGCATTTACGACCATACCGATCTCGCTTATACGCTGGCAAATTCCAACGGCGTTTTTAAGATGCCAGTGCTCTACACCGTTTGCACAAAGCAGATGCTGCGTTGGATCTACAAAAACGGGAGGAATTAATGGACAACACCGCAACAAACGGTGGTGCCCTTCGCCAAGTGCCCTACGCCAAGAAATGAGACACGTAAACGTACGTATGTGCAAAGTCTAGTAGGCAAGTCAAGGAGTTACAAAAGATCGTGCAACGCTATACAAAAAGGTTGGACGGGAGTCACACGAAAAAGGATTCTCATGAAGGAAACAACCGATAGAGATCACGCCCTATAGTCTAGAGCGACGTATTTGATTCTTACAGTTGTACTGGATGTCAAGGTCCAGTCTACCACAAAGTATGAGGCGAACGGCATGTTTCAAAAGCCGAAAGACAAGAAGACAGTAAAAACATTATTAGCGTGTAAGGGATTGGAAAGGTGCTAACGATGAAGCATTAGGGCGAAAAGGTCATGCATTGATCATGGTAACGATGGTGGTATCACGATACGATAATGCCAGCAAAAACGGAATGAGTCGTTAGTTAGCACATGTCATCTAAGCGATGGACAATACACTTCTTAGCAGTCGGGAGAGGCGGTGAGATGTAAATTATCTGCACCTGAATGACTAGCCACAAGTGCGTTAATGGTTGTTACAAGCAGTGGAAGAAGTGCAAGCACAGCTTGGCAGGGCTGCATGTTGCTAGCGCTTTTTAAAGCTTTACCTGTACAAAAGGGAATGAAGACGTAACCAATCAGGTAAGCGATGCAACCTCAAACAGCTTCGACTTAATTTTCAGCGTCTACGCATGATCGAGAATGCTGGGCAAGATCACCTAAATTAGCCTCTTCAATTCTGCGCATCAGTCACCGTTACGCGGATCTAGCGTTGTCGCCAGTCAGACTCTTTCCGACACTTGCCTTAACAATGGAAAGATGATGCAAGGTTCTATATCATCACGTGATCATCGACATGGGATTCCTTGACAGCCATACGTCCCACATTGCAAAAACACCTGCTTTGCCTGGAGCCTGCACCTCATCAACGAAGACGCAAGCGTTCGCATGCGATACTACATTGTCATTTGAAAGGGCTTAGACCCTTCGCTGCCAATTCATGCATTCCCTCAGTAAGCTTCTACCCTCCAGTAGTATGTGGTATCTACATTTCCGTAATTATTGACTAGACCACATAAGTATCTATCTAGCTGTTTCCACAGCTCGGACTGCAACATAACCTGTAGTCACATCCCTCCTGTGGGTTAGTGCTGCATGTACGTCTGCCAGTCGTACAGTACCAATGATTACCAGCATAGCTTTGTAAACTTTCTGCTTCAATAGACAAACATTGCACGTGGAACGACAAGTGACATTCCACACGTGACAGACGGTTTACAACTACACAGCAGTACTTAGCTGTGCTTGGCTCTTGCAACATACCAGCTGGGTTGGTCGCGTCCTTATCTCGTACGTAATAACAATATAGAGGTTAGATCTCACAGTGCTTTTCTTCTATCACTGTTCAATTTTACATCCATTTTGCAAGGTATTCGTTTTTACAACAAAATGAATGGCCACTCGCACGACTCTTGTGAAACTGGACCTTTCGACACCACGACCAACACGTGTCCGTTCATGCGTCGTCTTTATGAAGCAATTGCAGCAAGACGCAATGTCGTTCGGTGACATGAATAGCATCGTCGTCTTTGTCTTGATCTCCTGCGTCGATCACTGTAACAAACGGAAACATCGGGTCGATATTGCTCACACTGTTGGACTAAACATGAGGTCTATGCCATCCACGCCATACCGTTTCGTGCGGCCTAATGGCTGCATAGAGTCAAGACAGTGCTGGAGCTCATCTCAGGTTGACATCACTGCAGCCAATGTACACTCTTGTTCAAACAGAGACCAGCAGTGGAGAGTAAACCCGCAGCCCTGGATTCCAGTGATTGCTTGGGGTTCAATTGTCAGAGGTTCTCCCTGGTCATCTTCACTGACCTCCTCTTGGCTCTTCATGTTCCCATTCGTTCCAAACGGACGTCCCCTTTATCCCTCGAGGAAGTAAACGTCTCGCCCTTGTTCATGCATGAGGAAGGGTTTGTTCAGCACCAAACACTCAAACACATGACCGTGCTCACCATCTATCTCGAAACCCCACAACCACTTGGTTTTCCGATACGCGTGTGTTCCCGTCGCACGTACAAGTCGAAATCCAAGACATAAGTGTGACCCGATGGTCGGATCTGAGCATATGACGAGATGCTCAAGAGCTTGTGGCGGGGGTGTCGGTGCTTTCGTCATGTTGAAAGAGCGTGCGAGAGTCGCGCGCTCCCTCTCTCTATTCGTCTCCATTCCGATGTCGACCATCATCATCCTGAAGGAACGGAGGGAGCCAGAAAGGGCCACTGCACATCACGTGCGTTTTCCTGCTAGCCAGCGGCACTGACTGTCGCATCGTCTTTTGCTTTGTTCTTGGTAAACCCACGTGACAGCCAACAAGGGGGTCCCTATCCGACAGCAGTACGCAAAACAACGACCGGAATACTTACTCATACCGTCGACTACTCCACTGCTTCACTTCATACTGTTCGAGTGGTTGCTCTCTGGTTCTCGTTGCTGCTACAGCCATGACTCGGAAACTTGGTTTCACAAAATACGTAGAAGACAGAGAGAATGCGTCCTTGACGGACGAGGAGAATGCACGGAGACTGGATTTCTCCCAAAGTCGGAACGGGTTACCCACTTTGAACCGAAATGCGTTCGAACGCAGTCTCAATCGAAGTGCTTTTGAGTCAAGTGTGACTCGAAGTGCAGTTGAGCAGGTTGTACCGATGCTGAATCAAACCGGCTTGGATCGAAATTTCAATCGCAATGGCTTTGACCGCAGTTTCAACCGAAGTGGCTTTGAAACGAGTGGCTTTGAGCACCATTTTGAGCAAAGTAGCTGCGGGTCGAATCTCACGCGAAGTGGCTTTGACAGGAGTTGCAACCGCAGTCACTTTGATCGAGGTCTGCAGCTGGAAAATGGCCAAGCTTCGATGATTCCGATGCTTGGTCCAGTGGAGAATGCAATGATGAGCTCCGTGGTGATTATGAACCGAGTGGACTCGGCTGTTGACAGTCCACACATACGGAAGGAGGAAGCAGGACGTGATGGAGAGAGTGCGATGCCGTTTCCAGCTTTGACGCGCCAATTTGAAGTGAATCTGCTCTCGCAACGACACATTGGATTGCTCGTCTCGTCCGGCTTTGCGGGCATTCTCCATAATTGCTTAACGCATGGCGTTCTACCGCTGCTGAAACAAGAGCTAAGGATGAAATCATATCAAGCAGATGCAGCCTCGGTGTTAATTCAGTTGCCGTGGTCTTATAGTTTCATTTGGGGCTTCATCTCCGACGCCGTGCCGATCTTTGATTCCCGACGTAAGGCTTACATTATTCTCGCATGGATGATGACAATGCTCGCGTGTTTTTTCATGGCTTTACTGGACGAATTTGTCTCGTACCGAGCGAACAACAATGACGTGACTTCAGCTGATGTGTTACGACATGCTGCTACGCTGATGGATGCCTATGTTTTCTTACTCATTCTGGCCAACTTTGGCTGTATCGTGGCGATAGTTATTGGAGAGACTTATGTGATTGCACAGACTCGGCGGGAACGCTTGACAGTTCGTGGACAAGCTCTTGGTACGCTGCTTATGACACAGTATGCAGGTCAATTTTTCGGCCAAGTGATTGCTGATTACGCGATTTTCCAGGTCTCGGATCTAGGGGCTGTTCCCAAAGTCACGCTGCGTCAAACGATGCTGTTCTTCGTGTTTTATACGATCGTTCCACTGATCGGGCTATGCACGTGCTTTGTCGAGAAGGCAGACCCACCAGCTATCAATGCAGCTCGAGATCGATTCAATCGCGCAACTATTGGCAACTTGGCAACGTCAGCATCGGAGCTTCAGCGAGCTTACATCACGGCTTCTAACTTTCTTCAGCGCTTGGCGCTCGCGTTTCGTGGCCACTGGAATCGGCTGCGAAGTGCGTTGGGCAAAGAGTCCACTTCACGCGTTATCCGGTTTTTGATCGGTCTCATCTTGATGTCGGAGTTCTCGCTAACATATCCGATTAATCGGCTCGAACGATGGTGTGGCATGAATGCAAAAGCTGCGTCAATGAGCAGTAGCATGTCGGAAGTGTTCTCGATACTTCCCGTGATCCTGTGGAAGTATTTTTTCTTAAACAACGATTGGCGCTGGTCCGTGTTCTCGAGCTTTGTCATCGTCACGATGACACCTCAACTTGTCTACTACCTCATGGCAACTCTTCACCCAGCATCACGTAACGTAGATATCTACGCCGTCGTGTCATCGCTTACAGCTTTCCTTCGCAGTGCAATTGTGATCTTGGAACTTGCCCTCACTGCAGAAATCGCTCCAGTGGGTGGCGAAGGTGCTTTTGTCGGGATTGTCGTGTCCATGGCTTCAAGTATGCGGCTCATGGCGAACACTGTCTCGAATTTGATTGGGTTCATGTTTGAGGATGTCGAGCACTCTGTCAGTGGGAGGTCCGACCCTGATAGAATGCAAGTGGCGTTTGCACTGGTATTGTCGCACATTATTCGAGCCCTCGGTCTCGTGGCTTTGGTTTTTCTACCCAAGCAAAAACGACATATCCAGCGTCTACATCGCTACGGCGATAAAGACAATCGATGCACAACGTGGTGGGTCCTCGCATGTCTCGCATTGGCTTTCATTGTCAGCACGATCTTTAATGCTTTGGCTATTGCACCTTCAACGTCTTGCTTGAAAATTGTGGGTGGTGATGGCTGCTAGACTCCATGGACGGGTGAGCAAACAATATGCTCGGTCTAACTGTCAGAACGAACGGTAAATTAAAGCGCGAGACGGCAAACTTGCTGATGTTTGGCGTGGACTGTTCGTTGAGTTTTTATGACGTCATGTCTGCTGGTCGGCCATGTAGATGCTGCACACGAAGTGGTGTTCGCGGGCGCTGCATTCACTGCCACCAATAATAATAATAACGCTGTGATGGGAACGATAATTGACAAGTTGAAGACAGCCGTGACGGAAGATGCGCCTACCGGTGAAGCTGAGACGTACCACGTTAATCTGTGGTGAATGGTGTCGTAGGAGTGAAGTCATTGAAGTTCCTGCTTCAGAAAAGATTGAAAGACGAGTTTGTGGTACTAAGGAGAATGACATGATGGTCAATAACGTGGCCACATAATTGTAACTCACCAAGCACAAGGATATGTGATGGTGCATTTGGACAGGACGATAAGAAACATGAGCAACTGAATGATGTCCTCGGTTGTTTAGTTCGCGAGAGTTTTTCGTAATCGACACCATGTGGTGGATCTTTGAAAGCAGCTTGTTGCATTGACTTTGTCCTGCCTGTTGTCGGCTCAGACTCATCTGCTTTGTATTTGAATTCTCCGTCGTGAATTACCGGCTGATCGGGATCTTCATGAAAGAAAAAATCGAGCGCAATGGGCGGCATGAGTAAGCGGAACACGAGAAAAATAGCGCTGTTTCCTGACCCGTGATGATTGGGATGAGTCCGAGTTCCGTGATGTGGAAGATGGCAGTGCCAGCGACGATCTGAACTGTCGCTACTCCCATGAATTACGGCAAGAGCAGCTTTCTTATCGCTTTGCTCCGGGGTTTCTTGCAGTTCGTGAGAACTTACGACATACGTTGCGGTCACGATTGATGCCAGTTTGTTACTAGAACTTCCGGACATGCGTATCCGATGTACCCGTTATCCAGCACTGTGGGTGTTCATCAGAGCCTTTGCGTGGAGAAAAGGTAGCAACCTGCTTTATAATCATGTGCTCATGACACCTGATGTTAACTCAATGAGTTGGCACGTAACAAACTTCAACAAGTCAGCAGTCGTAGCTTGTCTTTCAGCTGTCAAGAGCCGATTGGGACTTTACATTGGTTTCAATGACATGTCAGGATTCTGCATCTCTTTCGGGCTGTTAGGACTTTGTATGTATTTCTACGACGGCACAAGTACTGGCGAGGGCACCTACCTCATCTAGTGCTATGACTAGAATTGGCGGCTGCCCTTGCTGGCTGAGCTATACTGAAATTGGGCACGGAATACACTGCGACGCGTCGTTGTCTACAGTTTGTAAACTACAGTGTCTTGACCGACGATACCTTTTGAAAGCTGTTGTGATGTATTCATGTAGCTATTAGTCTAATGGACTTGCCACTTGGTCGAGACACGTCCAGTAGACGTTGCTCTGTTACTACGAGCACACATGGGTGAGGTATATGTGTGATTCATACATCAACAAAGTCCTCATCCCTGCTGTTGTTCTTCATCAGGCCTTCCTTCGGGTCAGTTTAGCTACGCTGGCGTCCACCTTGACACCAGCGTTTATAATTTACCTCCTGAATGGTACGAGCTAGCGCTCCCCCAATACTGCGTAGTTGAATCCACGCTCCATGGACAAACTCGAGCTCCCCACGCTGCTACTGAACATACTTCCCAGGTCTTCTCGAGCGCCTAGGAAGGAGTTCTGGTCACTTGTACTCACATCGTCCCCAATGTCACTCACGCGACGCTCGCGCTCCAATAAACTCCGAAGTCGCTCCGCCACTTGGGCTGCTGTCGGGCGTCGACTTGGCTCGAGCGTTAAACACTCCATCACGAGCGTCGCAACTTCTCGAGGACATCGGTCCGACAGCGACGGGCGAATCGCTCCTGTCCTCAATAGCTCCAGCACAGCACTTTCCGGCAAGGACTGACCATTCGACAGCGTCACTTCCGAGAACGGTAGTTCATGGCTGTCGAGTTCCGACAGAATGACTCCAAACGAGTAGATATCCACTGCTGTCGAGTACCGCGCATCGCCGGACAGCACTTCCGGTGCAATCCACCGATTCGTTCCTATCGACCTTGTCATTGCAAGTTGTTCCGTCGAGTCGTCCTCGTCATCCTGCCCTTCTTCTTCTCGTTCTCCTCCTCCTCCTCTCTCCCCCTCAAGCAAGTGATGCAGCCCATACCGACTCACGCCAAAGTCCGCCACTTTGGCCGTGTAGGCCGAGTCCAGCAAGATGTTCCTCGACTTGAGGTCCCGATGCAAAATCGGTTTCGGCTGCCGCGAGTGCAAGTACGTCAGGGCTTCCGCAATATCCAGAGCCATGGCCAATTTCGGAGCTCGCCACGCCCGAGCTCGAGCGTCATGTCGAGTCCCCACCAAGTACTGCCGCAAGTCCCCTCCGCTCATATACTCGAGCACCATCTGAAGGTCCGAGGCATTACCCGTGCCAGCATTTCCCGTATTGCCAGCTTCTAAGGTCCCATTCTCCGCTTTCAAAGGGGAGGCCCAGGCTGCCCCGTAGAACGCCACGACTTTGGGATGACTGAGGCAAGCCAGGAACCGAATCTCCGCAACGAAGCGACGCAGAGCACTTTGACCCCGTAAACTCCGTGACTTGGTCCGGGTTCTTGAATTCGTCCCGGAGGTTGCACCCGACGCGTTATTGCTGCTCTGGCGACTGTGGCGACTCTGTTTCCGCCACGATTTCGTCCGGGGGAGGGACGTGGGCAAAGGAGGTGAGAGTTTCTTGACCACGACCGTCTCCCCCAAGTACGTTGCGAGCCATACCGTGCCATAAGCTCCAGCTCCTAATGGCCGGATCGGGGTAATACTCTCGGCATTAATGCGCCACGGCGCCAGCGCTTCTTCGTCTTCCATGGTCAACGTCGCCATCCTGGACGTAGGGGTCCCCCGTCGTCGCCCGATTTGGTACATGGGTAAAGAGGGCGACCCCGCAGGTGCATTGACGTCCCGGTCGGTCTTCGGTGGTCGCTTGCAGCAGAAAACCAGGAGCACGAACACGGTCAAGAGGAGCACGAAGGGGATGCTGATGCTGAGCCACAACTCGAGGGCCTCGTCGTCCACCGAGTCGGTACAACTGGAAGTGCTGTTGCTATTGTCAGCAATGTCTTGGGCGGCGGCGGCGGCGGCATTCTCGGTCGATGGGTTCGTGCCCTTTAAGGTCGTGCCGCTCGAACCTGTTCGAAGGGATCCGGAACCTGCTGCGGACATGGTGAGCTTCAGCATTTCCGACGGCACTTCGCCAATGTCGGTAGCTCCCAAGTAGCGGGGCATCTCAAGGAGCTGAAGGACGGACGGGGGCGAATGGACGGTCAGCCGTCGCTCGCCCCTTGTCTTGCGCGTCGAGTCGACGGACGAAAAGACCGCGAGGTTGACGGATCGATCGCTCCTGTCTCGCGAGATCTCTAGTGGGACGGATGGACGGATGTTGGCCGGGAGTTGAAGGACTGCCGGATGGACGGCGCGACGCGTCCACCTGCTGCTCCGAAAGTTCGACGACTGACTCTCACGTCGTGCCCCAACTGCGTGACATGTGCATCGTAAGGGATTCGCGAAGCGAGGAGCTCGAGATTAGTCGCGGTGTGACACATGGGCCATCGAGCGGTCGTCAAGACAGGGCAGAGCCGAACTTGCTCCCCGCTCTTCCCGGTCAACCGGTACATCCTGTCTGTTAGTTCCTGGGGTGGTGGCTGGATCGCTCAAAGGTTCACAGCTCACCAAAGGGTGGACACCGAGATATCCTACCGTCCGACAAGTGCAGCGCACGATCGGCACCTTCCGTCCGTGTTAATTGGAAGATCCGTGGCATCCAGTACGAAGTTTCATGGAGCTAGTGATTGATCGTCCTGATCGCCGCCATGTTCAGGGCTAACAGCCCGCTGTCCTAGTGCATCCGTGGGACCACCTGTCTGTCTATCTATCTGTAGGCAGTGCACCTTTAGTGACTGGTAGATCGTCACGAAACTAGGCGTGTGCTCCGAGTCGAACGCCGTCGTCAAGTGGGTCAACGGTAGTAGAGTCACTTAAGAGAGAGAGAGAGAGAGCTGCTGCTGCTTTATCTTGTTCGAAAGACGTGCAAGTCGTCGTCCTTTGATCAGGACCGAAGCTACGTAGTGGTTGGTGCCTATCGACAAGGAGACGACGACAAAGAGGGGGAGAGATCGTCGTGGTCGGTCGGCCGTGTGTGTGTGTGCTGTGGAAACCGTGAAGCGGCTGTCGTGGATTCCAAAGGGCAAGAGCGGGAAGATGAGGGTAGAACCCTAGCGGATGCTCTGGCAAGTGAACAACGTCATGTCTCCATTGTCTCGACACATTTGAGCATCGGAGCGTCGGGACGTGCTTCCCTCGCTGCCTTCAGTGGTCATGGAAGCACGTTCGGCGCAACTCCCTCCTCTGCTCTCGACTGTCTCAAGTGCCTCGATCTGAACTGGAATACCACCACGACGGCACCCTAGGAGGAGGGAGGCACTGGATCGATGTTAACCTCGCGACAGCAGCCAGTTCGGACCGGTGGGTCGTCCCCTTTCTACTCGGAGCAAAGACGCTGTTCCTCGTCGTGGAGTCCAGAGATCGACAGAGCCACCGGACGGACAACTGGAGCGTCAGGTGCTCGATCGATAGACGTAGTCGGACTCGATGGCGAGCGAGTGTGACCCGAAGCTCGCACCGAAATGGAGCAACTCGCTGATTGTTTACACTCGTTGTTCGAACACATGCCCCTCATCAAGTTTCTCGTTTCAAGGCTGTTGGAAGTGGACGTTAGGAAGCTTGAGCTTCAGCTTTGTGCCTCAAGCAGATAATAAGAGTAGCTCCTCGCAGCCTTACGCACGTTACAAGCCCAGCTCTGTGACGCCGCCACGAAGACATCTCAGGAGATGTCTGAAGTCCATCAAACCGCTATCAATGCTAAGCTATTCGGAAAGAGCCATTGTCATCACAACTGCTCCTAGCCATGAAGAAAGCCGTGGACGGGAACGGTTGCCGAGACACGTGATCGTCACGATGCAGACTTTCTCGTGTCTTGCTTGACGATAGACAGCTCCGCCATCTGTAGACGCAACAGGACGACGGCGTGTCTTTGTCTCTCGAATGAAACTGGCTGAAGAGCCTCGCTCTCGTGTTTTGATGGGCAATTCATTGACGGTCGCTCTAGTTTATCACATGACGTCGTTGTCAGGTTGCTCGCACACAAAGAGCTGGAGTTTGTCGTGGTCTTGGACCGCACCGTACGTCTTAACAAGGAGCCCAGTTCCCTCGTCACGCCGCATCTCGCTACGATGTTGTAACACAAGCAGTGTCCACAGACCGGACCGCTGGAAGTCGATGAGACCGCGTGGTGTGCGGCATGTACTACTTCGATACAACCGAGTTCGAACGATGAGATGAGGACTGGGACTGAGTGTGTCAGGTCCTCATTCGCTCAGGTCAAACAGTCCGGCACTCATGCAACAGTAACAATTATCCGATGTGTCGCTTCGTTTGGACGTTGGGATTTGGTTGGTCGTGGTGACCATACTTGGTGTAGCTGTAGTGCAATGTCGTGCAATTGGGGTGTTGCACGGTGTTGCTTGCATCTCAACGTACGAGTCACCACGCTGTGGGGCGACCTCGGCTTCAGCTGTCGATAGTTCCAGTGCCAATTGGTGTTGTGATTGCCAGCGATGACTGGAGGTGCTCGCGCATTGCAGACGTGGTTTCGTACGTTGAATCCTTTGCCCAACGGCAACGGACGCACGCTACCTCCGTATTGTTAGCTGTGTCCTGCTCTCTTGCAAAGAGGCGGGATCGCTTGTAGTCTACATGTTGCGTAGTACGCGAGCTACATAACGTCACGAGCTACAGAGCGACAACGCTACCGCTATGCGACTGCTAGGTTTGGCGTCCGTCAGCTTAACTCGAAATGAAAAGGTCACCAGGACTGGCCCCAGTAATGTCCGGTGACCCTCTCGGTTCGTGCTCGATGAACTCGATGCCTGCATACTGCATGGACGCCCCGAATGGCAGCCAAAAGCACTTGTTCAAACTCTCGCGTCGCCATTGCGCGAAGTTGACGGATGCATGTAGCCAAGAACTGGACGTGATGATTGCCGTGGCTGCCTGATCGACTGCGTGGTTTTACAAGGTGAGCCCACAACACTTGGTTTGACCAGCGTGTATCGCACACTTCTTCTACATCCGCTCAGCCGGTTTCTAATCCTCCCGAACCCGACCCGCTAGAAGGACCGTCGGGTGCGCAGGTGCCGTCCGGTGGCTAATCAGCTTGTTCGGACGGAACAGCTACATTCATCCATGTAGTATATTTACACGAAATAGTTGTAGGTCGAGCTGGATCTTTATCTTGATTGTATCACAAGGCAGAAGTAAATCGACGAGGATTAAATCTAATCGCTCTTGACTTTCTTTGCTCGGCATGATAAGCCAAGATCAACATCGTTGCGAGATCGAAATGTACCACGGCGTCAGCTGCAGCTTGATTGCGTCATGCAAGACGTTTATGGAACAACCCATTGATGCGATCTCGCTGGCTGGATTTTTTATGTGGCCTGTGATTCGTCCATGCAATCGAAGCAATCAGGCATTAGCAGAATTCCACGTGAAGCCATGACGCTTAGCGGTCCACGTGGAGACTCGAATCGCTCGAGCTCTTTTCGACTATCAGGAAGTCATTTATAAGGGACGTTAAGCACTATAGTAACAGATGGACGCGTCAAACAGAATAGCGTTACAGCACTCGAGTTCGTTATCGTAGCACGCCGCCCTATACCTGAAGTGCTTGGTCAGCCACGTCAACCAATGACACCACCACCATCCTTGACCCAATTCTGCCGATAAAATACATTGAATGAGCCTCTATCTTCGGCTGGAAGCCGGTAAGGACGAGCGGTTCGACAATCGACAATATTGACAGAACTCATGAGGGCGTCTCCATATTTGAAGACGATCGTGACTTCATGTATGTTTGCAAGTTGTATCAGCAGCTCCAGTCCAAAGCTGACTAACATTTTTTGCAACAAGGGCCCTCTAACAGCTATAACAGCAGTGAATCGACGGGGCTTTGGTAAATTTGATAGCGTCAGACATGCCTAGAACGTGTAATCACAGTGTGGCTTCAATGGCCCTCCAAGTCCAAGCACTTGGCTTCTATGCGTTGTTTATCTTCGCCCACAAGACCATCATCCAATAGACCTCTAACAAACTACTGCCGCAACAAACACATCAGTCAACCAACCACAACACATTCATCCTTCCAAACAAAACACTCAATCTATACATCATAATTTCAAACTGCTCAAAGGCAGCCAACCACCACTTTTCAGCACGTCGTTCCGTGCTGCAGATACGGTGAATATTCTATCGCAATGGATCGAGCCAGATCCCCCTGCATCAAACCTCCGTCTCCCGAGTAGTCAGCTGTCCAGTTGGAGACATCAAGTGGTACCCCTCCCCTTCTTCGACATCTGTACTCGGAAGCGTCGCACTTGACCTGGTAAGAGTTGGCTTAGTCGACGTACTACCTCCTTCCAAAAGAACGCGCTCGTTCGACACCAAATTTTCGCGCATCCCTGCCCAGCCCGACAAAGTCAACGGTGGCAAGTGAGCCGATGCTGAAGGTCGTCGGGATTCACGTAACACGATACGAGAAGCATTCCGAGCTTCCCGAGTTTCCGCCTCTCGTCTCGATCGACGAGCGAGTTGGCGTCGAGCCAGCACCATTGCAAGCACAAAGACGACAATAGTGCCCGCAACGAGTCCTGCCACGAGCCGAAAATTCGAGCCATCAATAGCCGGGATGCACCAATCGTCCACAATCCGGTCGTCACGATCCGGCATTTCGCATGCAGCAAGACAGATGCAGCCAGATTGACCAATGCACTTTGCCGTCGTGGACACGTGAGTACCCATTGCATGATCACGGGTCCATTCGGCTCGACAGGCAGAACACGCAGCATCGTCGGCTGGACAGTAAGTGTAGTTGGTCATGGGATATCCTCCGTCACTTGAAATCATGTACGAATTGGTACATTCGCCAAATGGACTGACGGTGCACTGCACACGAAGAAGAAGAGAAGAAAAGCACAAGATAGAAAAAGCGTCAAACACACTGCAAAACACACACAATACGACGACGACGACAAAGAAGAAAGCGTTTCTAAATATCGTGGCGCAATAACGACACGGTCGAGCGAGAAGGGAGCAAACGTCCCAAACTGAATATACAGAATGTCGCACCTTCTGTCCTTGGATAACGACATTGAGACAATCAAAGCAAGAACGCGGCCGCGAGCAGATACCTTCGGCGTACCACGTACACGCATCTCCGTCGTTCGACGTGTCCAACTTCGGGGCGATTGTCGACGCAATAGAATCCACGCCATTAAACGACAAAGAACCATCAATTGAGGTGGGACCCCCGACGTCCGTGTCGTTTGCATTAAGCGCACTACCGGTGCCACTCATGATGCGTTTGAACTGCTTCGCGGAAGAGAAAGTGAGGAATGGGAGACCTGGTCGGACGTCGAGGTTTTGCCGACTCGAGCCGAAGCTGATGGGCCCTATCTGAATCACATGGTACTTGACATACGTAGTTTTGAAGGGATCATCGAATAGAATCGAGAGAGCGGGACCGAATGAAGGAAGAAATGTATGTGTTTTATCTATTTGAGACGACGGTCAGCGCAGCTGTGAAGACGTGAAAATAGATTGCGGAGCACACCCAGAGTCGGCCATCATATCGGGCCAGTGGCTGAAAAAGCCTGTGAAAATGTATAACGGGCATCAACGTCGTGAGGGCATGTAGGGATAGGGCAGACCGAGTGATTGATGATGCCATCCTGATGTTTCTCAGGCGCGTTCTTGGACGCAGAACTTGATATCTCTCGAAAGCAGATAATCACCGGACAGACAAATCGCGAGCCATCGCTCGAATCATGCAGCAAGCTGAGGCGTGTGGAAACGCCAATCGGACTGGACGTCTCGATGTCGTAAAGAGCTCTCGATCAAGTCTTGCAGGTACTCAGTATCTAGTCTTGAAGGTGGAAGACGAGGTTAGTTTTGGTAGACTCTGGCAGGAGTTAAACAGCTTCTACAAGAGCCTCTACACCAGGTCATCTCATACGCTCCATGGTAAAAGAGTGCGAAGAAAGCAAGGCGTCCCTTTTTCATGGCTGCTTCCATTTGCTTCCATATAGGCGGGAGGGAGGAGGATGTGTCCAGCTTCTTGCGTTCGGCCTTTGCTCATGCGACCTGGCGATCGATCAGCGTTTTTAACACCGAACAGCGAAACGGATACCTGCACTTGCTGTGATGTGTCAAGGGGTTCGTATACTCGTCCAAGCGCCAAGTAGATGGAAGACTCGATGCGAACGACGGGCAATTTGCCGACTTTTCCGAGATACAACGGTCACCACCTGACACGAGACGACCGACCAGATGGGGAGGTGTGAGTGTGGACTATTTCCTCGTGCCATCACCAGGTGAGGCTATCAATCGAGGCACGCTTTTTCAGGTGACTCGGCACTGATTTACAGACCATTGACGACTAAATCTATCAGCTGGAGCGATCGTATGACAGCGATGTCGTTGATTGGGCTCGATACACACGCTGCCGTCTGTGCAGCGGTCACCTACTATCGATGGCGAGGCAGAGTTCTTGTATTTTTATACCTGAAACGACTGGTACTGGTAGCTTGTTGACCCGGCCGCTTGTGGATTACCGCATTCTGAATGGAGAAACGGTCACGACAACAGACGTTGATGTCGTGTATTCAGCAGCTCACGACTGGACGGTCTGTATGAGAAAGAAGGTTCATTGACAGAAGGTCTGGAGGGTCTCATGACCTCTACGCTATTTCGGTAGAGCACGATTTGACGCATACATCTGCTGTAGGGAGTCATCACGAAGTCGGATACCTACATCTGGCATCAGGATACGAACTCGTAATCATAGCGACGCCACGCCATTTCTTCAATGGCAGTTCAGTAGAGGCGAGTTGTTAGTCTTTGGCTCATTCAGTAGCATCGTGGGGCATCCTAGCCGTGACCTAAGAGCGCTCGGAAGTAGATCGGATCAGCCGTTGTCGCTTAGTTTATCATCACTATCTGCACCAAGGTAGCGCTTTAGGACTCGTACTTGCGCATCGTGGCATCCCACAGTGATCTTAGTCTCATCCTGTCTCGAGTTTGGGCCTGAAGGTCTGACAAGTCGCCAACATCGGTTTGACGTTGGCCAGGTCAAACATGTCAAGGGTCGCTGTACACCATTCAGGCCTTTGTCAGTGGCGCCAATGCACCAAGTCTTCCATGTCACGACACCATTGATTAGATAATTGTACGTGCATCCGTGTCGTTGTGGCAGTCGACAATACCAGCCTCAATCGAATAAAAAGATGTCGAGACTAGATTATAGACGTCTTCAGTGAGGCTGAACTCGTTGTCAGCGTTTGCTCTCGTCCTGTGAACCTAGGCAGGTCACGACGAGTCGACAGTACAGCTTTACAACCAATACTAGCCACCAGATTATCATCGATACTCTTGCCAAATTAGTGGGTGGGTCGACCCATGCGTGAGTTGTTAAGGTTGTAGCCCTTCTGCATGGACTAAAGGCTGCGTTCGATGTCTGCGTAGGTAGCAAGGGGTGATGAAGGTTTCATCGGCGCGAAGAAGGGTGGCAACAAGCTGTCGACTGCGCAACAAATACTGGTGACAATGTACGTCCAACTACCAGAGGCTTGCGAAACACAGAAGTCAGCGGCACACGAAGTGGGCACCAGTGCCGACGTTGTTTAGTACACTCAGCTTAGCGTCATTTCTCCATCCCGTGCGCGAAGGACCGCTGTAGAAAATGTGACTACCACGACCCAGACATTAACTCGGGCTAACAAAACTAATGATGGCCGAACTGGACATGAACTTTCGAAGATAAAGGCGACTGGAAGCCAAGAACCTGGCGATGCAGTCTACGACCAAGTACTTGCACTCCCTCACGCCAACCAATACAAAAGCCGGCGTTTCGTATCGGACGATCAATCGTGAAGGTACAACTGAGCTCCAGGTAATTGTACATTTCACACGGTGACCATCTGCTATTACCAAGGCAGTGAGTGTCTACGACTGTATCGCCCATCGTCTCCTACTTGTACTTGGTCCGTCCGTGACAGCACTCGTTCCTCGAGTTTTGCGTGAAATGCAGCAATACATAACCAAGCTTCCACAAGAAGCGTCTTAGACGGCCCCTCCATAAGCGGAAACCAACGCACTTCCATGGAATTGACGCCAGCCAGCCACGAGGTCTTCATATTCGTCCGGATGATTGCGGTTCAGTGCAACCGGATCCTAAAAAAGATCGGCACTCATGATAATACAGTCAGCACGTAATATCTAACTACCAACCACCTCAAAGTACATCGCACCTCAGCAAAGCAGACAAACACAGTGTGTAGAGCAGCAATAACAACGTGTGCCAGGGTCATTGCCACGCTAATGCCCACCATAAACCCAACAATAGCCATCGTCGCGTAGACGCTCGTACTCGAGCCGAGAGCGGTAAACCACTCGACAGGCGAAAAGCGCACCATGAGCAATCCCACACAGCACGTCACGACTCCGACCCCCAAAGCACCAAACGACAGAGCCCCCGACGTCAAATCATCATTAATGATCGCCGTCCAGCCGCGCGTCTTGAACAGATCCGTCACCGCTTTGCCGCTCGCGCGGAAGGGGTAGCCGTACACCCCCACGTACACGTACGCCCACTGGTTCAAGTATTCCATGACCCCCACCAAACAGCTCAAGATGCATTCCGCCATGCACGCTAAACACGCCAGTCCGCCGTTATTTTCCTCACTGGCACGGCGTTTGGCCATGTCTGCCATCGTCCGTAGTGCCTGCAAAACGGCCACGATCAACGAGCCAAAGCAAATGGACCCAAAGCTCGTGGTGACCGAGCGATAAAGGGTACTCAGCGTCGCTTTTTCGGCCCCTGGCTGGTACCACCACGTTGCAATAACGCCTGCTGTCGAGCAGGTTAGAATGTTCTGCAGGACTTGTTGTCCCCAATAGACACTCACGAGCATGTAAAAGAGAGCGGTATAAGCGGGTAGCCCGACACAAAGTCCGCCCTGGCTATGTCCCCGACGTGCAAGTTGCAGCTCCCTGTCACAACTCGGATCGTTCTCGAGAAACAGCTGGTGTAAACCTACACAAGCAATGCCCCACAAAAGTATCCACATCAGTTGCTGCACCACGAGCGTAAACGCGAGCACAAACACAGCTGTGTGTTGGTGCAACCCGGCACACGCGGCTTTTAGATTGGCCGATGCAAAGCCAATCCGGTTTTGTACCGCGTAAATGTACCACACGTTCATTGCCGCCAAGAGGAGAAATAGTAGCGCGGCCCATAAGTTGACAGTAAACATTGACAGGGCGAACACTAGCACCATGGCTACATTCAGCCATAACGCAACCCGAATCATCGATTCGGCATACGTCATCAGCAACTTGATCCAGGCCAAAGATAGCCCAATCCCTAGAACACAGAGCAGACCAATCATTGACCAGGCCTCAATATGGCGTTGAGCGACGTGATCATCCACCCCGTTTTTGTTCAGATCCTCACGTAGGACCGGCACCCCCTTATAAAAGGCTAACACGCCTAAAACAACCACGTTCGTTAGAAACAGACAGGCAAAGACGCTGTCGTTGCACGTGGCTGCTCGAGCTTCGAGGCGTTGCGTGTTCACATCGATGCTGGGCGGTGCACGTCGAGCTTTGCCGCTACTGGGGCTCAGGAGCATCGGGTCCGACTCGCTCACGGGCGCGTACATGGTGTCGAGGCCGTAGATAGTCGAGGTGCTAGCTGACTCACAGTAGAAATGCGACTGGAAGAAGATGAGAGAAGAAGAATTTCTATAGCTGGTGTAAAAAACCTCGCTGATGGGCGACACATCACACAGATGGTGTGAGGATGAAAATACGGTATTGGTACCGGTAGAATCGGTAGCAAAAAACTCGCTGATGGGGACACATCACACAGATGGTGTGAGGATGAAAATACGGTATTGGTACCGGTAGAATCGGTAGTCCTTTTTTCAATATCGGAGACCTCAATAAATTGGAAGAGAGATGGCGGACGTGACTACTGCGGCAGAGAGTGAGGTTGCGGAGGATGTGGTGAGACCATCAGGACCGACGAAAGGTTCGTTTGGAAAGCGTTTAATTAATTTATGTCAAGTGTACGTAAAGAATCTGCCAACATTAATTGTGTTGTTTACGGACACATCTCTGTGCCGTGATTGGTATGTGCCATCTGGCAGTCACGCTGCAGTTTGTAGCAGTAGGCAATGCACCACTGATGAAGCGCACGAAATTTACCGTGAGCGGTCACGACCAATTGAGTGTGGTGGGTGAAATGTGTTTTTGGCGGTACAAAAAAACTGGGTTATTTAGGTTGTCGAACTGCTTTTGCGTCAGGTGTATCGATTCTTGAGGAAACAGCTTCGGCTGAAAGACACCGAGTCCCTGGTAAGTACGAACAATTGAACTGATACTGAGCAGCTGTTGGCAATATTTAGTTGTTGAGGTGTAGGGCTAAGCTTGGATGAACGTGTGGTGTGCAGTTTGTGTATTGCAGCAGCTCGTTCGCACCGTCTCCGGATCAGAGACTCAGCTCATTATTTCAGGTACTTTCGCTGCCCTGACTTCTTGTTGCGATCCTGTTTTGCACTCGTACTAATGCAGTAATGCTGATCGATTATTATGCGAATTAATTGATGTTTAGTGTTTCCAAGTGGGAGACGTGCTGGTGCTAAATTATAGCTTGACACAGGCGTGGGGGTAGGAAGAGAAACGCAGAGTCTACTACGCGTCTTGAAGAAAACATGTGTTGTCGTGGTGTGCTACCTTAGCCAAGTGTGACAATGGAAACATCAAGCTGGACCGATTTTGCATCGAGCCCACCTACACTAGTGCGAGGAGCCAAAAACGTCTTTGGAGATGTATTGATTCGGCGCTGGGGTCACTGTCGCCCAATTTACTAGCAAGGTATGGCTACCTGCATGCAGCACCTCAGCTTGCTGGTAGGTTTTGATTATTGCCAGGGTTATTGCTTGGATAATTATGGCGTAGGTACACGCTTCGAAATGCTACACCTTTTCCGGGTCTTTTTGAGCCTGGAGATCCCCCACTTGCGATTTTTGTTAGCAAGTGTTATACTTGAGTGTTTCCTGGGCGCTGACAGTCTGAACGACCTGTGCGCATGCTTTATCTTTGATGAGCCATTCGTTCTCCATCTGCTTGCATCAAGTTCGTCAGGCTTGCTGTCACTAGACTGTCATTCGAGTCTATGAGTTGCCGATTTTTGATTTTGTGCTGCAATTGAACATGCAGTATTCGTGTGGAATCGCCACACCTTTCGAAGTGAGACAGCTAAAGCTCACACTAACATTAAACTCACCGGAATACAGCAGTCGCCCACGCAAGTTACGACGATAGATAGATTCGAAGTATTGTTTATCAGCATTGCAGATATCGACCATTAGCAAAGGCCACGACATCGCTTGCCATTTGAGTTGCAACACGATGTTACGGTCGCCAGCATTATTTCCTTATTTTTGAATATACACTTAGAGTAATCAAGCCGCTTTCCAAAACATAACGTCAGTTTGTACGATCCCGGCATGTCCATCTTATTTTCATCCATTGTATCAGACCGCCCAGCACATACCTCAGCGATACCTGAACGACATGTAGCTGCACATTCTTGCCATTCGAGTGCAACAAAACAACAATTCGTACTTCGCCTAGCCTCGGCGTACATTCTCTACTGCGAGTACCGTACCAATTTGCAATATCTCGTGGCCAAAACTACTACTGCTTCTTACCACTTATCCCACGATCTTCAGCATCCCAAGTCAAGCGCATACAAATATGTGCACCCGCCTGCCTGATTGTTGCCACCACCATCGCATCTTCTCCGCATTACCTCTACTTGCATCTCGTACAACCACTTGATGTTTTTCCTTTCACAAGCTTTTAATCGACAGTTTCAGGTTCACAACTACTCTGCTTATACACATATCGATCGATCTGCGTGTGAGACTGAACCGATATATTTACATCCTGCCTCACGTTCCCATTGAATCACGTGATGCCGTATCAAATCCTGTAAAAACCATAAAACACATCGTAAAGACGGACAGAATTGCTCACTTTGTCAGAGAATTAAAACGTAAAAGCAAAAAAGCTGATGGCGACAACAGCGTACCAGTCGTGGCTACGAAAGAGCGAGTTCAAGGTATCCCAACAACTGTCGACAAGTACTTCGAATTCCCCTTCTGTACCCGAAGTATCCACCCATTTAGCCACGGAGACGACCTCCCAGACGGCTGCTCTACCTCCTACATCGAAAAAGCAGCCGAAATTAATTTCGATTCACCATCGAAACGAAAAAGCGGCGGATGTTAAACGTGTCGCTTATGTTGCTGCTGGACACGGCGACTCCACAGTCGAGAGACAGGCGAATCTGGATAAAGTTGCTGCATGGAAGCAACCTTGGGATGACAAGGAGCGGTTGATGGAACAGATCGTACCGAGACAAACTCGTGCATTAACTGCATTGAGGCGATTATCGACAAAGAAAGAGAAGAGAAGCCAGCAGTGGAGACAGTGCGTTGATGTCAAGACCAGCTGTGATTCTGTGAAAAAAGGAACGGAGCAAAGAGTTTCGACAAAGATCGCGAGTGGGACGATGCAGTTAAAGCAGATGGATAGTCGGAACCGAATTGCGGAGGTTGTTTCGAACAGCACGAGAAAACGACCGTGGTGCAATGCAGAGACGAGCGGTAGTGGAGATGATAGGGGGAAAGGGTTTGCAGACGAGCACTTACAGCACTCGTTGCATGACGAAGGCGTTGTTGGAATGCTAGAGTTCGTTGGATCTGATAACGATGACGCTACGACGAGGCGACTGTCATATTGCAGTGATCACGAGGAGGAGGAAAAGAGCAGAAGGTCTTCGAGCGGGTTGCCACCGAAATGTCCGATGGTGAAACAAAAGGGTGTGGAAACTAGTGTGCTCGACGAATGCCAGTACTGGATGGCAGTTGACAGGTTTTCGCATCTAGAGTAGGTGTTCGGTGTATGGTCTGGTAGTAGTGCATTTGATTTGTTGCCAGATATCGAGTAGAATAGATGTGCTCTGGGTTAGTCATGAGCGTGACTTGGAGCACACCGGTAGAAGATAACACTTGTCTGATATGTGTAGTTTTCATGCAACGTACGGTAAGTGATCGAACAGTCGATGCATCGCTACAACTTGAAGGCGGTGCGGAAGGATCACCTCTGTTTAGTCGTTTACTACGTTACCATTGCGCACCTGCTACTTTGCTACACCCCACAATGGCTTTCTAAGTAGCATTTAAATTCCAACAAAACAAGAGGAGCTAGTGCTGTTGAAGCTGTTAGCATTGCCGTATAAATGGACCATTTGGAAGATAAATGTTGAGGTCCGATAGATAGCTCGTACTTTTGCTATAACGTGAGAAGGTTGTCGTGCATGCCGAAGGCACAGTTTGAGTGACAGCATAACTTATTTGCGCGTTTTTGGGGATGTTTGTAATGCGCCAATCTTTTCTATTATACAGTGATCTCAGGCAAACAAATGGTATTCATGCGACGGTGGTAGACGTCGTAAGGCTCCTACGGACCGAGCATGCTTTTTACCTTGTACACTAACAGAAATAGTAATTCACACGCAGCTGTGCGCAAAAATACTTGGTCCAATACGTAACTGACAATGCGCATACTCAATCAGCACGCTACTTATTCTGTGGAATGGGACGGTTCAAACGAGGCCAAAACATACAGAGCGACCAGTCTGTCACAGCGTACTCGGTGGAGTTCCATTCGTGTGGAGTAGCAGCGACAGTCGACGTCTAATTAAAACAAAGAGGCACACAAGTATTCCATCAACACACGTGCAAAGTTCTCAGCACTTGATCTAAGTATGTAAAAACCCAAGCAGACATCTTAGTGAGCTACAATCGTGGTCGTATCCAGAAGGATGGTCTCATATTTCAGGCTCACTACATGACGACAGGTACTCTCTAGAGAAGCCTGCTAAAGAATGATTACCTAAAGTCATGGAATGAGTGCGCTTTCGTGGAGGATTTGCTTGCCTTCACCTTTCATGTCAGAAAACACCGATTTAGATCCAGTGAATTCCATGCTAATGTCAGGACCTTTACCTACCGTGTTTCTTTTCTGCCATGAAGTCGATAGCTATAGCACGGACGTATCGCACGAGTATTTGAAGCTCGTGCGATACGTCCGATGTATACATCTTCGTCGCGAGAATACATAATCGTTACAACATCGTCAGATACGAATAAAGAGAAGGGTACTCGATCCTGCCGCTCTCAGTACGAAAGCATCCTGCTTATACGCTAAACGGGAACAACAAAGGACCGTCCGCTTGAACCTGTGGAAACGTACTGGTCTTTTCTAAACGGTGTAGCACGCATATTATGTCGAAAGTGACATCACATAACAAGCTATTGGCACAGGCCAGGGTGTCCGTTTACGATTGCGTGGCCAGGTACATCATCATCCCTGAGGAAGCAGGCGGTCCATCTGGGCTGACTACATCTTTAGAAAGTAGAAGGCTCATATTTGACACGGTCTTAAGCTGAACAGAGCATGTACTAAGTTTATCGCTGACGTGCTTTATCCTCAATATGTCGCTCCGTTAGGCGAAAGTTTGCTAGCTTCATTATCCACTGAGAACACATTATGAGCAGGGAGAAGCAAAGGCAGAACTCCTTCTGATTGAGACACCAATTTGGCAGAAGGACGTTGACTCCAACGACAAATGATGAAAATATAAGGCTGACACTGCAGCGATCCGGACCTGGCTCATGAAAGGTGTATAGCCCATGTTAAGGTCAAGTCGAAGCTTTCCACAGTTCTAGGTCCTACCTCTCCCAGCTAGATGCCACTTACAGTGATGTATGACAAACATGATTAGTTAGTTGCACAGAGTAGTCTTTCATAGGGTCAAACGCTATACAAGTGGACTTCTCGGCCCATTGTGTCCGTTTGGCCTCTTGTCATACAGAGGTACGAATTGCGTTCAGTAGATCGTATGTGGATCTCGCTTCGCGACGAATTAACGGAAAAGTCAGTGCTCGGTCATCCAGATCTACTGTGTCTAGGGTATATCTAGAGCCATCAGCTTGACTTTGCTACTTGGAGGCTGTCAGCCCAATGTGAATGAAGTGGGCGATTTGATGTTGAGGTAGACGGACCCGCTCAATCAATATTGATCGCTAGGTGTCGCCCAGAGCGCTATGTCGCTGTATTTACACTCTTATGTATACGTAGAGAACATTATGTGCGGATTTGACCGTTGATGAGCAGAACCAGAGCTAATGTAAGAAGAATTGGCGGCGGCAGGGTGTCCATCAAATGTTAGATCAACACTTCTGGTTTCTCGTGCATGACACCTTTGCTTTCTTTGCTAGTGCCTAAACGCTTTTCTAATGCTACAATCAAGGAGAATACATCGCTTAAAGTGTACGGACCTTGCGACAAGAATAAATTAACGTATTTACACATTCAGGTAGTGATATTCAATTGGTGAAATTTGTCAGAAAGCGTTCGCACCCTCTACGAAGTCATAAATTTGAGCCTTTTCCTCTACTTTTTCATATCCGTATCATTTTCTTAGATTGATAACACTTTTGATCGCACTTATTGCTACCTACTTCATTCTGTATGATAGTGCTTGCCCCTCTAGTGACCAAAGCATTACGTGTGAAGTTGTACAATTTCGAAGGAAGATAGTAGTTTGTGCAAGGCTGCTCGCCGGAAAGTCGTGATCTACAGCACGTTCAGCTTTACCACCTTCATAGTTAGTGTTGGCAGTTATTGAAATGATTCATGTTGTCTTGTTTCAGCTATCGGGTCGTTGCTATCATACTCTTGGTTTAAGTCTCTACATTGGCACGTATCTCATCAATACGGTAGACTAGCTTGCGATTGAGAGTTTGATACATGTGGTGACCTGCCTCAAAGATTCAGCTTTTGCGTGAACAAATGTGGGCTTACTGCGAATTTGCTGACAAACGAACTTGCCTTTGCCGAAACTTGTATGTGTTTGATCTGTCGGGTTTCGCACTGTATTACTTACGCAAGTCAGTAGGTTACGCAGTCATAATCCCACGTATTCTTCACCGCCAAGTCCAGACCCACTGCTTTCCTGTTCGTCTCAGAATTTGTTGTTTTACCTCTAAATTATAATTCCTTTGCACACTCTGTTACATCTCGCAGGTATACATCTTGTTAAGTGGCGTTCGTGGTACTGCGACGCTGGCGTGTACGATGGGATCAGATTTACACCGGTAGTATATCAGAAAGCACGAAGGAAGCGTCATTTTGATACAAATCAATGGGTCCGTGCTGTTCAGGAGCTCTCCAAGACGGTGACTCCATGGAGTTCGCTGTGCTTTGCATTTCTTTGTCCCCCTATCACCCAGTTTCCAACCGTGGTCTGCAACGTATTACAACGAAAGTATGCGTTCCTAAACTTCAGTGTTACCGAGTGCTGACATTTTATCGGGCACATATCCTTCCAACATTTACACACACTCACGCGATAATAGGGGTCCTACTCTGCAGTTGAACCGAGATTTCTGATTCCAAATCAATCTGTCGGGTGAAAGAATGTAGCTGGTGTTCACAAGAAAGTATCGTCTCTAGAAAATGACATTCACTTCTCAACTGCTGCTATGACAACAAGTTTGAATACTTAAACGGGCTCCTCCTGCATCAGTACAGCGCAAATGAAGATCAAAGTGCCATCGGTGAGGCATAAGGTGTTGAAAATATGCGAAATTATTTGTCATGCGTCAAGATACACTGCCACTGACGGAGTTGTAGCGTTGAGATCGCGATATGTTTGATTTTCAGATTGGTCTCGTGCGTATTGTCGCACGAATCATAGTTGTTTGAATTGGGTTGATGAGTGAGATTGCAGAGCACGACTCAAAAGAGCACTAATGTACAATTGTACAGTGAAGAACACAAAATATAAGTGTAAGAGCGTGTTTAGAATGGTAATTGAAAATCGGTTGAACCTCTCGCTGAACCTCTGATTAAACCTTTAGTTAAGTCAAAGTAGCTTCTCTCGGGACTTTGGAAAATGTAACTAATACTTGAGCGATAAAGACCAGGTAATTTTCGCACACCCGGTTATCACAGCACTTTACCCCTCCTGCTACTTTACTAGCACCCGCAAGCCACGAGTGGCTCGCACTCGCAATACTCTTTTATAGGAGCAAGACGTCACGACGTATTCGGAAAACAATTCGATTATTGAATTTCGCGTCAGTCGTATCCAGCATTCCTGTTTTGTGTAGAAATTAGCTCTGATCTGGAGCGGAACTCGAAAGATAAGACCAGCGGGGTTGTCATAAACCGCTATGGAGTATTTATGCAAACTTACATCTCACTGCATAGACTTTGGCGAATCTTTATCGTTTTCCAAACGCATCGCAATTGCATTATATCTATGTACATGAAAATGCAATCTATGAGTAGTCGCATATTTATTTGGAGTCGCGAGAACAATAGCACGCGTTTGCTGTAGCGATGTCGTTCAAGCGTCTATTGTAGGAAAGTTGTGCGCTTTCCTGGAGCTAACGACTCACTGGATGGGAGAACACTGCTGATGAGTTTTGAGGGTACCGCGACATTGTACGTATGGAAGTTACCATAGATGGCACTCACTTCTCCATTCAAAACCTAGCTGGCGACGATTTCAGAACGATCACATTTACCGCAGATGCCTTGCCTCAATCGCACGCCAAGCAGCGTTAATGCGAACGGACTATTTTATAGAGTGATTGAATACTTATCCTTGAATGATTATATATTATATTTACTAATGGAATTTTGCCTCGGTCCACGTTGGTCGGCCTGGAAGCGTACATGACGGCCGCTCGCTGCGTTACTCGTTACTCTTCAAAAATGAAAATGAAGGATTACTGATTTTTAATGCATACTTCCACATAAGCGACTTTCAATACGAATTGTCAGTCCGGATGATGGTGCCGTCTCGTTCTTCTTCACTTCCGAGGCCTATCGAAAAAAGCTTTAATCTTGCCTTTTTGTCAACCCGTGTTGTTATTAAGCAAGTTTTAAGAAGGCTTAGAATGAGATGACGTGTATCGATCGGCGCGCGGAAGATATTAAAGCTATCACCGCGTGTATTTCATTGCGTGCGTGTTCTTTATATATATCTGCGTTTTTTCATAGCCTCGACGGTGCATCCCATACCTCGTGGTATATACCAGTCGTCATCGGAACCTTTTTTAAAATCTATCCACATTAAAGTTGGAATTATCGATGCTCGTCGCAATGTTTCCACAAGAGATGTGCGACGACTGCATTTGAATCATACAATGATGATAACAACATTTTGATTGATAGTTTAGCAAAGACATAAACAAATGAATGCACATGGGTGTGATTTTCACGTTTGTTATCAATCTTTGGTGCATACACAGGCGCAAAAATAGTTGTAGCACGCAGCCAAAATCCTCACACTCTCTGTGTCGACTGTCTGCAGCTGCTTCGACTTTGGCTCTGCGGCGTTCTGTTGCAGCTATACCTGGTCACGTGCTAGGCGCGCTCCTTGCTTTGCATCGCTTCCACACGGATCTCAAAGTTATGGCGCTCTCGCTACATATGACGAATAACTTGGAGGACGATTTCGTAAATCTTGGCCTTGCTGGTGCGTCGAAGTTTTGATGGCGTTGGTGCAGCTGTGCGCGCCGGTTCAGACGTGTCGTTTCTACCAGTTCGATGATACGAAAGATATTGGAATGAAAGAAACTGGCGATTTTACCGTGTCCGCCGCATTAGCTGCAATGCAGCCCGGTATATATTGCTCTTAGTATATTTTTTGTTTTCTTCACACCTTCATCTGAATTTGATTTTGTTCTACAGTGGCATCACCTGCTTGAAGGACCGCAGTGGCATTCCACCATGGATGCTTGAGCCGACACATCTTGAGAAAAATCATACCCGTCCCATCTAGCTTGCGTCTTTCTTCGCGAGAGGTAGCATTCAGGTGTTTATACTTGTGATTGGCTTGTTTTAATGTCCACTGGCCCAAGTGTCAGACCAAATGAAAATCAATAAGGGTTTAAGCAAGTTTTAATGTCCGCCATAATAAAGGAAGATTGAAAACATACTGCTTAAGGTTTTACTTCAATTTTCAAACGAGCTGTGGTTAGCCGGGGAGTGCCGCAATATCTATTCCCCCCTGTAAAATATTATGATGCGTTACAAACTGAAAAGGAAGACATACATTGAGTAACACAGAATAAAAAGGAACGACACCCGTTGAACACTGCAGTCAACTACATAATAAAATCTGTCAGGACTTATTGTAGACAGGGGACGCTTCCTTTCTTTTTCCCATATCGCGCTTTGCCTGCGTTATCTTCTGTAGTGGGAGCATCCAGAATACCCGGGGTCGGCAGAAGAGGAAGATCTATTGGTCGGTATTCCTGAAGGTGAGCGTGAGCTCAACGAGTTTGTGGTGATCGCCATTATCCTGAGCGGTATTTGTTGTTGTGGTAAACGGCCGGAATCATTTTCGCCTGAAAATAGTAGGAGATTAAATGGGATTTTAATATGGGTATTTGATGTGCTTAGTAAACGTTAAATGAACCTCTTGTTAAAAGAGAATTTTCAACTGGAATCGAAATGCCGCTCAGTTACAATCTTGGTAAAGACCTCTGCCTTTTAATGGATAGCGTTTAGACCTTCCCATATGCCCCACTATCTCTTTCGCTTCACTTCCCCGTCCTCTTTGTTACCAAGACCCCTCCCTTTTGTTGCCATAATGGACAAATTAAATGGTTACATAAATAAATTAGATTTCAACAGAATGTGTTAGGAATTTAAAAAGACTGTGATATGGTCCGCGAATTTTTTTAAAGTAGAGATCAATTCGATTTATTTGTATCGGCAGGCTAACGCGGTCAATTGGCAGGTAAATTTCCAGGTCACTTGACATCGTTCGTTCACACATAACACTGGATTACGCCTCCTACTGTGTATTTGAACCCTCACCTCATGGATAGATTTCCTTTCCCCTCTCTTATCCTAATAATTCATTCTGATTTCTATTGTATCACTTTGTTTCATTTTTGTAATTAATTGCTGTGATGACATTTGCCGGCAGGCGATGATCTGTCTAGTGAAATGAATGGCTGAGACGGAGAGGTCACACAGACTAAATATGTGCGAAATTAAATAGGGATTGGTGTGATCACAGACTTCTTCCTTCAAGTCACAGCCTGTGTCAAACTTGATGTGTGCACCCTATTGCCAAAAAAAATCTGCTATTCGCACCCTTTTTCCAAATCTTTGATTACACTGTTTTTTTTCGTACCATTCCTTATGTTTCTGTATTCTTCCGTACCTTCATTTCACACCCTGCTCTAATTTAATGTCGCTTTAAAGCAGTGCACGTTCAAGGCCATAGGACAAGTCCCGTATTTAAGGATATTGTACATGAAATGGAACATGTTTATGTTCTTCGTTCGCAATCGCTTTCGGATAGTAAAAGCCTCCTGGATCCTCGCGACTACATATTCATAGTCGGTGTATCGTGCATTAGTATTCGCGACATCGCGCAATCGTGAGACGCTCAATAATCTTTTAAACATACATGTTGGTTGCCGCTTGCATACCTAAGTGCTTCTTTGACAACAGTTACAACCATACCTGTGTTGATCGTGAACATGTCCGTAATCGTATACGCGAAAGGCGGCGTTATCTTAACAGCCCGCAGCAACAGCGCCCTCATGAAATTTGGTGTGTTTTTGAAACGCCTGACTGCTCGAAGATCGACTTTATTCATTCAATTTCTCGGATGCGGACACATTGACCAAGGACAGTATTGTTGCAAAAAGACTGTCTATGGGCCTATTCATACCGCCGTATGAAAATGTTCTGACCAGTCATTACGATAAATATACTACATGAGATACTGAATAGCTAGTAAAATTAGCATGTATCCTCTTGCAAAAAATCTGATAGTCTTCGCAAGTCATATCAAATAATTATCCTAGCGTAATATTCACACACCAGCAATTACAGGCGACTGGCTTATTATGGATAAATTGGTGCTCGGTTTCAAAATAAAGGAGAGCAGTGCTTGTTCGTAGGATAGTGAAACCGCTGTATTAAGTATGACATATGGCGTGCAAAAGTGAGATAGCCTCATTCCGTTGATATATATATTTAATTATGGTCTTGGCTTCAAGCAAAAGGACATCGAGAGGACAGTGAGAACTTACTCATGCGGAGCGCACCGTCATGCCTATATACGTTGTAAGCTAATGAGATCAAGCTCTGGAGTCTGCCCTGTGATACAAGGAAATAGTCCAAATCACTTAATCTGTTTCTTTGTGTTCACGGCCCAATTTCAGGTGGTGGTAACCGGAGAATGGGTTGTTACTTTGATGCAGTAACTGTAGTGTTGCTGTAATGTTGTGTACTACAGCTACTCGTTTATGGTAGTGATTTTTTGAAGAGAAGGGTGATAGAAAATTGTGACGAAGGATGTTTACTGCTCGGCAATGCCGTCAAAAATGAAATGTGACCAATGAGAAAAAACAATTGATGAAGAATTAGGTTCAGGGGTCTGTGTCTGCCACCAAGAGAGAAGGGTGACCGTAACCTCTTACATTCCCCTTTATGAAGTGCTACGGATGAATATCACTGCAAATTGACTGCTGGAGGCGCAAGCGTTTTGTTGGCCGAGCATTTGTTAAGATGTTTGCTGCCTCGAGCATTTGCTTTTTAGCCCAATGTTTGTCTTTGATCACTTCAAGTCAATCATGTGTAGGCATTGGTGCGTGCGTGACTTACGCTTTCTGTGCGGTCGCGACTCACATACCTAAATAGAGATGTTAATATTGCATATCTGCCGATGAAGGGAAGATAGGCTGTATTGCACGTAGCTTGACGTGTACAGTACACCTCGCGATAAATTACAGACGAACAAACAGCGAAAGTGGGTCTTGAAAAGCTCGGCTAATACCATGAGTAAATTCGCTTTTTGATTTAACCTTCGGGCTCGAACTGAATGTAGAAGGCTTGTTTGTAGAAACGGCTGATCATCTGAGCACTCCGATATAGCTCTTCAAATTATAGTATGTTAGCGGGGCGAGATACTGATTTTGAAGTAATTCCACACTTTTGACCAAAGTCATGCCTTAATTGCTTAACATACGGTAACAGTAGCTGCTTTTGCGAGGGTCTCCTCGGTCTTGCCGTTTCCGCTGTCCGATTGCAAAAGTATAAATTCAGACTACCATAAACATGAAAACAGCGTTTACAACAGCCAGTTGACGCAACTATCTTCAAGTAATTGACAACAACACTATTCAAAACAAGACCATCGATGCTCCGGCATGCACCCCAAAAGAAGAACTAGTAGCATCGTCTGCCCTCCGTACCATCCAGAGGAATGTACCAGCAGTGCTTGGTTTCGACGCCCCCGATCTTCGTGGTGTTAAAATCCTCTCCAAACGACCACGACTTGTCTGCTGTGTGATACTGCAGCTTCATCCATTCCCACGAAGCCTGCAAAGACATGAAGCCGTACTCGTCACCAGAGTAGCTCCACTCATTCTTAATAAATCCAGCAGCATAATCCGGGATGCCACTAGCAGGCTCTTTCTGAATTCCACCTCCCGCGCCATTCTCCAAAAAGTGAATGCCCAGCGGCACCGAGAAGTCGTGCTTTTCAGCATGAGCGTGGCCATTTATCCAGACGTTGACGCCCAAGCCTCGCAAAGTGTCGAACCACTTGTTCATGCCTTTCTGAGCGTAGTGGTTGTAAGGACTGTAGTGGCTATTAACGACCTTCCACGTCGCAGTGGACTGCTTGACCTTTTCAGCGATCTGAGCGCGCGAGTCGTCGCCCCACTCGGTGAACTTGGCCATGCAGGTATCAAACATACCCGTGTCCCCACCACAGCAGAACTCATGGCCACGCCCAACGGATTTGCAGACGCCACTGTTGCCGTTCGAGTACCCAAAGCATTGACAGCAAACTTGCATGGCTCCATGCACATCGGCGTCGTTCGTGTCGATGTTGAAGATGTCAATACTGACACCCGTTGCCGCGTCTTCAACCCGATGGACGTAGAAGTGATCTTTTAGAATCCAACGGTTGTCGTTCGGACTCGTGTACTCAGATTGCCATCGGAATTTATTCTCAAGACCCTGGATCAGCGCCTCGGTGCTGTCGCACTTGGATGGATTGTCGCCAATGTTGCAGACGAAGCTCGACCCGCCATAGTCGTGGTTGCCCATCACATTCACGAAAGGAATGGTGTTAATGTTCAGGCCGTCGTACTTGTCTTCGAACGTCGAGGTGAACCGAGAGTCGCGTGCTTCACGACTGATGATGCCGTTCCAGTAAAAGTTGTCACCGTGTCCGATGATAGCCTGGGGCTTGGCAGCGATATTGCCAGCCTCTGTGTTCATTAAGCTTGCGACAACGTCCTGAGCGTGGACGTCATAGTTGTTGAACGACGACGAACGGACGCAACACGACTCCCTCGCCAAAGTTGAGCCATAGTCGCCAATAGCGAAAACACACAGCGGGTATGGCACAGTCGCTGGGTCCGAACTCGCTCCTGTCTCCGAGACAGAGGCGAGCACGACAGCATGGAGTGCTAGGACTTTTGAAGTGTGCATTCGAGTCCGTTGTTGGCAGGAAAACGATGAATGAAGTAAAGTGCCAGGGGAATCAAAGCGTCAGTAGAAGTCGACCTTTACATAGACCTTCGTGTTGGTGATACCTTCTGTCGTGCGTTCGTGACTCTTACTTGGTAATGAAGAGGACTTGCAATTCCCGCGCTCCCATCTGCTGCAAACGCATGGCAAAATTCAGTGCAACTGGCTCGTTTGAACAAAGATGTGAAGCACGAAGGGTCACTACTAACTAGACTGTGGCCAAGACGACGTCTTACAATCGAACGAACGTGGGCGATAGATGAGACGAAGGAAAAAGCGGCCACGCAAGTCAAGCGTCGCGTTGAGAGAGGGCCGTGAGGTGTCAACAGGGTGATATCACTACCCTATGTAACGGCCAGGTCACTCCTCTATACCAATAAATTCAACTTGAACGACGACAATTCGCACGTACTGGGGAGTTAATTGACGTCGTCTATCTGGTTGTACTATCGCGGATGTCCTTTGAACATGCACACGCCTGTTGTTCTACGCGGTTTCTGCCTCACTGAGAACGATGTCGTTCAATCAGCACTTGTTTTGTCGCGAGAGTAAAAGCACGACAACACATAAATATGAAGCTAGATAAAACACATAAATATGAAGCTAGCAGGTCGCTGCGATATAGTCCACACACTGTGTCATGAGTGTCAGAAATGTACTGGTGTGGCCTGTGCTAGCATTGAGCTATGGCACTTCACGACAAGACGTTGCTCTGATCGACTGTACCAAGACATCGCCATTCGTCCAAGTCAAATTGTACACACAACCGCGTCTTGTTGTTTTTGGTGTAACGTTGTCTCGATGTCGTGCGCCAGCGTGCCTTTCGCGGCTGTAAATCCATTGAAGTTGTAGACGCTGTGATGCGTTCGGTAGAGGAGCCACGGTCGATGGGCAGTTCAGTCAAATGACGTTAACGTGCGACCTTACAGGGAGAAGCTAAACCGCCGGGTGGGACAGACTATTCAGCCGGTTTCGACGGCCGGTAGGGAGGTTTTGGCCAATTAAAATCCTGCTCTGAGCATTTAGCCAAGATTAACCCCTCTGGTATGCTCTTAAGCGCGTTTAAAAGGGAGACAAGGGGGAGGATGGGCAGACAACAGCAGGTATTACAGACATGATTGATTCAATTCACTTCTCAGATGTTATATACTATTTCGGAGAGGGGTAAACCATGATTCACAACAAACGTTTGCCGTCATTCTTCCCAATTAATTCAATGCAAAATATCCGCGTAATTCCAAGAGATGCTAATATCGCTGGTATCGACTCTCAAGCCATCTCTACTGCACCTAGGCGCGCTTCAAGGTTTTTGTACTGGTCTAGGATCTCTTCGGGACTTGCGACGCTACGTCCGTGCCCGCTAAGGAGCTCACCCATCTGGCAATAACATTGGACTCATTCGAAACCACTGCCGATATCTTTACATTTTGAGGGCATGACGACGTTTGGCAATTTTGACCTCTTTCAAAGAAGTGCTGACCCTGGGTAGTATGGCCAGTTCCCTACAGTTCAAGCGCTTTGCAGCGTTTGTAACTGCCATTCCAGCAGATTGTTCGTACATCAGGTACGTTTTAGTGGGTTTCTCCTCTCAAGTGCCAAGAAGTGACTCACCATTTGTTGCTATTGTCTATTGGTATACATGAATGGTGTTGATGTCTTTGTCCATGCGTCACTGTTGTTGTTGTTGTCAAGTTCCGTAATCTTGAAAAGGTCGTGGCTGCTCGACTAATCTGGTGCAGCATCGATGATGCCATTGCAGACCCGTACTCGTGGCAGGATGACGGGTGACTACAAAAGGGCACTCGTTAATATGAACTCTCAAGTTTTTCTCTAGAATCAGGAATAGATTTAAGTTTACTGTGACTACAACCGAGGAGTAGAGTCGGGTTTTGCCAACCCTTATTGGTAAAGAATAGATTGTTTTGGCAACGTTGTCCGGCGAAAGTTGCAAATCTTGTACCCCTGCCAGCTTGCGCCAAGTCTGGTGACTAGTCATTCATGAATCCTTTGAAAAATAATAGCCTGGAGGACAAATAATTATTATATGTTTAGTCGAGTGCATGCATCATAGACGAACCCGCACATGCGGAAAACTCTAAACGCGCACAAACTAATCACGCGGTAACATTGTGCTTTCCTTTGTTTTGATTGACGGATGAGTACCTATAATTTTATAAAAAGGTGGAAGAATGATGGCTAACGTTTGTTGTGAGTCACGGTTTACCCCTCTCCGAAATAGTATATAACATCTGAGAAGTGAATTGAATCAATCATGTCTGTGATACCTGCTGTTGTCTGCCCATCCTCCCCCTTGTCTCCCTTTTTAACGCGCTTAAGAGCATACAAGAGGGGTTAATTTTGGCAGAATGATCAGAACAGGATTTTAATTGGCCAAAACCAGCCTACTGGCCGTCGAAACCGGCTGAATAGTCTGTCCCACCCGGCGGTTTAGGGTTTCCCGACCACAAAGCTCACTACGTGAGTTCAGTGCAAAGAGGACTACATTGTGTCGAAGTGAGCAGCAGTTTAAGCTCACGCTCATCAACTTCTGATGTGGTAGACCGATTATACTAGGATTGCACAAGCCCGACGTAAGGTTCGCAGGAATTAAGTTCCGGATAAATACAAGCAGGAGGTCTGAGTCGAAGCTGACCCGGACCGGACCGGTCCCGGAAAAGATCGGTACTGAAACAACGAGCTGCTGGGGTTTGGCACCCTAGCTTTACAGGTGACAGGGGCAGCATTTGCACCAAAAGAGAGCGATGATGGAAGTTAGTACAATAGCTGCGCTTCCTATCTGGAAAGCACTGACGCATGTCGAGACAACAGACAAATGAGCACGAGCTCTTTTGTATGCGAGCTACCCGAACTGCAACCATTAAACTGCTTGTGGCTGTTGCAAGAGCTCAAAAAAGTAGTGTCGCTCCAACGACGTGTATTCATTCCGGCAACTGGTAAGCGGCTCAAGTGCCTTAATAGAGTAACGCGTCACAGCCACACTCCATCTCCAGCGATCAAGCCTTCAGCGCGACTTCACCCGTAGTCTGCAACATGGAAATAGCGTTCTTTTTTGCCCTCCGCTTCGACCGCCGCTCCTGCTTCAGTTTGTCGCGATTCGCGCGCATCGTCTCCTTGTCCACTTTCGTCTTCATCCCCCCATCACTCTCGTCGTCCGAAACGCCATCGAAGGCCGCACCCATGTCAATCTTTTCCCTCTTTACCCTTTTCGCCCGTTGCTCGGGTGCTACAGCTTGCATCTCCTCATCCTGTCCAATTTCAGCATCCTCTTCCGTCCAAGTTCTTGCCACCTTTGCCTTCCACTCGAATGCCTTTGGTCTCGCAACTTCCTTCACCCGTTCCTGCTTCCGTCCCCGTGCATTCGAGCCCTGTACCAGCCTAGACTGGTTTTCCAGCACTGCTGGTCCCGGCTTCTCTTTTTCCCCTGTCGCCTCGACAACCTTTTCCTTCAGCTGTATCTGGTTCTCCATTGCCATCTGCTGCTGCTGCTGCTTCTTCTCCTCCTCCTCCTTCACCAAAGACACCTCATCGTCTCTCTCCTGCTGTCTCCGTTCCGTCTCCGCCTTCCTCTTTGTACCAACCTTGCCCACGTCCTCCGTCACCAGCTTCTCATGGACAAAGCGACACTTTTTGCCTCGATGGCATCGTCCGTTCTGATAGCTGTAGCACACGCGAGTCGTCGTGCCCGCTCTTGCACCCGCCGCACTTGTGCCGTCCTTCTCCTTGCAATGCTCCAGTCCCTCCTTCTCCGGGTTCTCAACGTGCGAGAACTTGCACTTGTCTCCTCGTTTGCACGCGCCCGTCTGCACAAACTCAAAGCAGCTCCCACAATCTCCATCCTGCACGTCGTGGGAAAACAAACAACTGGCGCCCATTGTGCACTTGCCTTTGCGCAACAACCAGCACGGCCGCTTGCTCACATCGGGGGTCATTGGCTGGAATTCGTCCTTGGGCACGAGCTGCCGCACGTTCAACGTACGGCCTTCCACCACCTTCCGGTGCATGCCTTTGATAGCAGCGCGTAGAGCTGAGGCCCCGCTGAACGTCACAAAGCCAAAGCCACGCGACGTGTTGGTGACAACGTCTTGCACGACTGAAGCGTCGAGCACGGTGCCAAAGGTACTGAAAAGCTCTGCCAATTGCGCATTGTCCAGTGATTTCGGAATGCCCGCGACAAGGAGCTTCTGGCTGTCATTGTTCTGCCGCATGTGACGTGCGTGTGTGTGTGTTTGCTTGGGTCGTACAGAGTGATTTGCAAACTGAGGCGAGGGCTCGTGAATGGTTGGTGACGTTTGAGGCACGGTATGGTGCTGGAAGCTCGTTACGTTGCGGATGGGCGACAACTGGTGTGGACGACATAACTGCCGACACCGGTGTCGAAAACGTTTTTTATGTGGCTTTTACGTATTCGTGATGTGGCAACAGGAAGTCACGGCAGAGTCGATGTGAGTCCCGCGGTTGATGCAAAATAGTTGAAGATACTTTTTTTCACGTCGGTTGTCGATTTAATCAGGTGCAGATGCGTTGGAATCTCTGGTCTTCCCCTACTTACGGACTGCATCGAACTTGCTGCAGAAAGGAACAACGATTTGTCGATTCTTACCTGATAAGCGCGACGGTGGTCAAGTGTGTAAGGACAAATTGCTCAGTTAAAGTCGCTAAAGGAGTTGAATATGGAGTACGCCGAGTATCAGGTGACCATAATCCAGCGTCATCCTTCAAGTGCCCGCAGCGGCAGGATTTGTGGATGATGCCCATCTGATGGGTATAGACTATGCGCATGTATGCAGCACAAGAAAACAGTCACACCTTACGTGGATGACGGAAGACGTCTGCAGTGTCGCGAGACAACGCTGACCTCTCGTTTCTATTTCAAGAAGCAAAATGATCTCGTGCACCGAACGATGTACCCATCGAATAGCAGACCAAATAGCGGTCAAAGTAGCAAGCGTATCTAGCGCAGAGGACTGACTAATTGCCCGCCATCTAGCTGCGGCATCTTTGCCATCTCCGTTTGACCTTTTTGCCTCTTCCAACTTTCCGTCATGGTAGGTAGTTTCATGTGTGGTAGAACTGCCATGTCCGCTTCGTGTAAATTTCGTAGATTGAATTGTCGCTTTCGTCTTGTGCGGTACGGAAATGGGCTGTACCATCAAAAGATAAAGATGATCACCCAAACTGCCATGAACCCCCACATGAGTTGTTCTTTTTCTCAATATCCAGTAATGGTATCATTGCCACTGTAACATCTCACCGACATTACACGCGCAAGACACGAACAACTTACCAACCCATGCACTGATATCGCTCCTGATGCATTTATAATACGTCACTCATAGCAGAAGTCCTGCTCAAAGAGCTTTTAGTGCGCTTGCTCTCAGTGAACTCTGCTTGACAACCTGTGTTGTTACTTAGGACGAACCATTTCAGTTTAGGGCGGCAACGTCCTGTTACGGCAAAAGTAGCACAAACGAGTCAAAGCTCAGCACTTGCATCCCAGCCACTATGCTCAATAAACAGGTTCACGTTGCCAGCTCATGAAACAAGCCGGGCCGTTTAAACAATTCATCGCCATTATAATTGTCTTGAAGTGGCGTCGACACAAATTGGCCTGGAAAACCGACACATCTCTCGTTGCAGTAGTTGTAATTGTCATGTCCTCCCCGTGTAAGCATTACGTTGACGTAAAGCACAGACGAACGTCATCAAGTTTATTGCATAGTGTACCGCTAATCGTTATTGCGATAACAATCGTAAACATGCTCATGTGACGCGTAGCAGCAACGAACAACTCATACCTTTTTCCTTCCAGAAATGAAACAGAGGTGTATCAAACTTTGAGCGCACAGTCTCGAATACAAATAACCATCCTCGTGCACAAGAAGTTCCAGCAGGAGCTCAACCTGTGGTCGGCTCCAAACGATATAAATGGAGACAGACACGACCGCACAAGGATACTGCGACAGCAACTATATCAAAAATGAAAATCCAAGAAGCCAATGACAACAAGCTCAAGTTTATCACGCAAAAGAGGCGGCGAAGTGAGAGCAACTCGAAAGTCGTGATGGCTCTCCACAGTGCAATCTTACTTTCCAATAAAGAGAGCGCAGATGCCATAGAGTAGCTCCGTACATCGACATAACAAGTTAAAAAGACGACAAGAACGTTTTAGACAGTGCACAAACATCCCGCTTCCATTAATGTGTTGTTATCTCACCCTGCTACAGCTGTGCCGTGGTCGTGACGCCTCGGCCTGTAGAACATGCGACATTGTTGCTCAACAAATCCTGCCTATAAAAGAGTTACAGCAATAAAATAACGCACTTTTAGACCGTTATTCCACCCCGGCAGCTTCTTTACTCATTCTGTCCTTTGCGGCCTGTTTGCTTAGTTCGAGGAACAGCCCATAAGTCCAGAACTGCCCTGGTGACAACGTTGGCTTTTCTTCCGATGCACGCAGTATGTTGACCACCTGGGTTTCAGACAAACCTCGTTCCACCCAGTTCTGGACAAGTGCGTTCCGCACCTTCAATTCCAGTTCTTGGCGATTGCGATCGTACTGCGACTTCATTTCCAGTCCTTGGAGGTCTGACAATTCGATGGCTTTGGCCACGACTTGGTATAACGGCGTGTCGCCTCCGTAGCGCTTCCGGAGAGCATCGATCAGCACTTGGTCACTTACTTGCTTCTCGTTCTTGACATACTCGATAAAGCGTTGGAGCACTACAACTCCATCGAGGTCAAGTCTCGTCGTGTCGGGCAGAAAGATCTTGGCAACGTCGTGCACACTCTTCCCCTTCCACTGCTTCACCAAGAAATTGAGATACGCGAGTCCCGTCGTTGCTTGATCCGCAACCTCCGACCGCATTAATTGCACCGCCGCTATCGCCCCCACGTACTGTTCTTTCTCACTCAGAGACGCCACACCTTTCGATCTGAGAATGGCCAGCTTTTTCGCCTCATCCCAACCTTGATTCTCTTTCAGCTTGTTCTCGTACGCCGCTACAACCGTCTTCACAAAAGACGGTTCACGCTCCGGTGGGTGAAGTAGCTCCGGGAAAGCATCTCCGTGATGTCGGAGAGTGCTTTCTGACGTCTTCTCGACACCGGCCTTCACGACAACGTCCCCCACCGTCTTGAGCTCCCCCGCCATCCTCTCTTCACCTTCCTTCAGCTGGTGAGACCTCAACTGCCTCTCTCCAAGAGCGAAGTCGGTGGTAGGACCGGCTCGAGCCGAGTATAAGTCGGCGACTGCTTTAGCCTCCACTGATGAAGTGTCGACGCACACGATGAAGGCAGCGATGGCTACGATGTTGGAGGTACAGATTCGCATCGTACAAGAGAGGGAGATTGGTTTGACGGAGATGTGGCAAGTTGTGGAATGACGTTGTTCAAGTCAAAGGAGAGGCTAAAGCGCCGGTTGGGAAGAACTATTCAGCCGGTATTGATAGCCCGTAGAGAGCTTTTGCTCAATGTGATCCTCTTTTATGCACTCGTGCGCGTTTAGAGCGGGATGGGGGAGGATAGGCAGACAACAGCAGGTATCACAGACAGGTTCAATTCAATTGGCCTCTTAGGTGTTATATATTAATTCGGAGAGGAGTAAACCATGACTCACACAAGCGTAAGCCATAATTCTTTCGATCTTTATAAAAGAAGTAGGCATTCGGATCAGTCAGTCAAAACAAAGGAAAGCAACAATTTTAAGCGATACCAGTATCGCCGGTGTCAACGCTCAGGTCATCGCTTCTTCATCCAGACGCGCTCCAAGCGTTATGTAGTGGTCTACGATCCCTCCAGACTTGTGACGCTATATCCGTGCTCGCACAAGGAGCTCAATGACCTAGCGATGACGTTTGACTCACTCGAGACCGCTACCATCATCTGTACACTCTGAGGTATGACGTAGTTTTAACAATTTTGACCCATTAAAAACAACTGCTAATCCAGCTTAATATGGCCAATTACCTGCAGTTCAAGAGCTTGCGACGTTTGTGGTTGTCATTTAAATGACCTTTTTCGTTCTTCGGGTACATTTTAGTGGCTTTTTAGGAAATGCCAAGAAGCGACTCACTCTTTGTCTCTACTGTATCCGTCTGTGTATGTGTAGTCTTGACATCTTCGTCAATTTATCATTCTTCCGTTGTTGTTAAGTTGTTCCGTGTTCATCCATTATTATTTGTGCTTATTCTTGATAATCTCATTTTGCTATCTACGATTTTTACCTCTGTTATTATTGTTATCTTCTTCTTTGTTAATATTAGGTTTTTTTATAAGATGTGATACAAAAGCGAAAATTTCACAAGATGTGATACAAGGTATTTTTTATAAAAGGAAATTTATTTAAATTACTACGATCTGAAGCTATTTATACAAAGATCTGAAGCTGTTTGGTATGGTCTAACATGAATGTGGTTGAAATCATACTTGGAGGTATATTGTGACTGTGATATTGCTGCTGCAGTATCGACGTTTCGCTAATGTTACAAGTTATGATACAGGTGACAGCACAGGTATCGAATCTCATTATCATTAAGGACTCAACGAAGATCGTTACCAAGTCTTTTTTCGTACAGTATCAACACGTAGGAACTACGTCTTGGCTGTGTTGACTGACTGTTTGTAGTACTCTGATCGGTCGATCGTTGTGGTAGCCTGAAGCTGACATCTGGTCGGCGCCTTGGGATTGCAATGAATCTAGCTTCTCGCCTGCTTACTGCTGCTTGTTCTTCTTCTCAAAACGTGACGAAATGGCCGCAACGTCCTTCGTGAAGCCCTCTTTGTTGATGTAGCCGTCCTTGTCAAGGAAACGCACGCTGCTCAACTCCTCAAATTTTCTGCCTGCCCGTCCTGTTGGCATGGTGGATGCAGACTACATAGTGCAATTCGGTGTGGGGAAGCGTTATTCGCATGAAAATGGTCGTATTTGCCGATACTTACAGTTCAACTGTAACGGGGCACCCTCAAGCTTGTATTGATGATAGTGCAAGCTACTTATTCGGATGACAGAAAAAGGCGGTGCCGCGTAACTTCACGTACACTCGTACGTGCAGAGGAAGACGGTAAGAAGAAGCGAGTACTTGGTTAAAGTAAAAAGTAGAACTGTATTTATAATAGTTAATGTCTGTTAATAAATCACTGTTTATCTTCATCTAACTATGTCTAAATACAAATGTGTAAATTGATTATCTGCTCACCACTCATTGCGTGCGTCTGTCGTGGCGCGTCTTCGTTGGTTGATATAATGGCCTATATCAACCAATTAGGAACTACTCGTTAGTGCTGCAGAATATTTGTCCTTATGACAATATTCTGAGAATGTAACTCTTATAGTTATATTCTATTAACAATTTCTAATAAAGTGTTATGTAGCAGTTCACCCCGTTACATCACCCCCCCTAACCATCAGTCACTTTAATGACTGATTGACTAAATGGATACTCGTCCCAAATCATTTGGGACAGGGTTTGCACTTGTTGGTCCGAGTCCACAGACCATCAGTTTCATCGCATGGTTAACAAGTCCATGCGGTGCGCGAACAAGTCCACCGAGAGTGCGTCTGCACGTCTCTGTGCAGTCGCCGGATAAGAAACCGCTGCAACCGATGCGTCATCGGTTGCTAAAGCGTCTCAGTCTGTATCACCTGGTGATGCTGACGCTCGTCATGAAGACACTCATGTCTTCACAGAGTATGAGCTCGGTGTCTCATACTCTCCTGATACGGAAGAGGGGTCCGTATCGAAGGCGGTTGAAACCAAGCCGCCTGCCGAGCGTGGCATGGATGATGCTACGCATCGTGGCATCTTTGGATCATCTGATGTATCAGGTGAACCATCGCCGAAGCGAAGGCGCTCGAGGTCGCGAGACTCGGGCGCTAACAGTGGTGTCGGCTCTCCTACGGACACCGCTTCGCAGCGAGGTGCCAGAAATTCTGTTGGCACGTCGCAGGAAGAGCGGGACTGCAGTGTGTTGCGTCTCGCTCCCGAAACGAAAGCATGGCTGCCTCCAAAGTCAGTCATGGATCGCTTGTCGGCGACGACGAGTGATCGTTATCGAACACAATTGTTCGATTCGTCAAGGATCCATCATCTAAACCCCAGTGCGAAAAACTATCGCGCTGAGAATGATTTCTTCATCGATGCTTTCTACAAACATCGATGGTACAGTGGGAATCACAAACGTGAAGGTCCCTCACTGCTCCAATCGTGGAACGCTTACATCCATAGCCTTGAGGATGTAGGTCGTGATGTTAGGAACGACAAACTTATCAAAGCTCGAGATAAGTTTGAGAAGCGAACCCTGACAGGTGCACGCTACAAGCTGCATCGTCTGTCAAGGGAGAAAGGATTACCCTGCCTCTCCTGGAGAGACCCGTGCCCTTGTTGTGTGAACAACTCTGCGCGCGCACCTAAGGAGGCCTAACTCCCTAATAGCCCGTGGTGGCGCGTACGTATCTCCAGTGAGATGTACGAAGGGATCGACAACCTGAAATCCCTTTACGACCGTGCCGGGAAGACTTTCTCCGGCGGTCCTTCTGCGGCACAGGATGTGCAGCGTCGTACTGCTCAACCAGACCCAGTACGTCAACCATCAGTTGGGAGCGGGGCTCCCAAGTATCCCAGGACGGGGGATAGCCGCGCCACCGGACGAGATAACTCGTCCGACGTCCGTTCACGTCGCGGTGGTTCAACAGCTGCTCAACCAGATAGCGCTGGCCACCGCGAGAGTCCTCTAATGGAGGTGGAGGAGGAGGGGAATCGCTCTCCACACAATCGTGGGGAAGCGTGTGTTCCCGAGAGCCTCTTTGATCGCTTAACTCTTGCGTTGCGCGGCGACCTCAAACATGATCGGGACAGGCGTATTCAACTGGCATACACTGTCTTGAAGCATCGAGCTGAGTTTTCTTTTGCCCAGCTTGAGAACGAGAGAGCTCTGACGTCTCTGCGTGAAGAGCTAAGGGTAGCTCGTGGGATTGTTGACCGGTCTCGGGATAAGATAGCTGTACTTCAGACCCTTGTTGATGCCCACCATCGGGAGCACAAGGCTCTCTGCGAGATGCTTAAGCGCAAGGGCGTTCTTCATCGGAAGAAGCAGCGTACTGATGGTACGGCTTAAGCCGACCAACGTAAAACGTGGGATGCGTTCGCATCTTACGTGGTAACTAGATCGTGTATGCATTGCCGAGGCGATGCGATACACGAAATGGGCCGATGTACTTGGGTAGCAGTAAACTGCTACCCAAGTTAGTCACTACATGCTTCGGTAGATTAACCGTAGACAGTAGGACTAAGTCACCTTTATTAAATAAAAGAGTGTTTGCCCTTCCATTCTTGTCAGTGTTTTATTTTTGCTTATCCACCGCTTCGGCGATGGAGTCTTGCACAAAACGGACTACCGTTTCACGAGCCAGTATGAACTCATCTGGTGAATCGTTAGCTTCAGTGCGCTGTGAGTGCACTGCAGCAACATCAACCTTTTCTTCAGTGAGGGCTTCCGCAATCTCACTGGCATCATCTTCTTCGATATCGATGTTATCGGCATCAAAAGCAATGACTTCTTCATCAGAGCGTGATGAGCGTGAACCAAATCGGTTTTTGATCGCGCGAGTTCCTCCCCCCCTTAAGCCAGATTTACACTCTAGTAAGGTGGGTACACGCGGATGGCGTAAGCCATTCACGTAAAACGGTATATGTGTCGTGGACGCATGCACCGAGTTGTTAATGGCAAACTCTACCATTGGCAAGAACTCACTCCAACTGTTAAAGGAGTGTACGTATCCTCGAAGTATCTCTTCGAGGACACGATTGGCACGTTCCGTCTGACCATCTGACTCTGGATGATCAGATGTAGACATCTTCAAGCGCGTTCCGAGTGATTTAAACACGGAACGCCAGAAATAAGCAGTGAATCGTGGATCTCTGTCTGATACGAGTTCAAGGGGCAGCCCATGAAGTCGGAAGATGGTGTAGATAAAGACACAAGCACAGCCACTTGCCGTTATTGACTCTGGTACAGCCACAAGGTGTACCATTTTGCTGAATCTGTCAACAAATACGAGAATACCCGTATTCCCGCGTGCGTCTTTGGGTAACCTGAAGACGAAATCCATTGAGGTGGATTCCCAGCACTCTGCCGGAACCGGTAGAGGCTGTAAAGGTGCACGCAGTGAAGGACTTGACTTCACTCGTTGACAGACTTCGCATGCGCGAACATACTTTCGCACAAACTGATACTGGCGGGGCCAGTAAAAGTCTCGACTCACCGTGAGATATGTTTCTCCCGGCCACGATGTCCTCCGATAGGAGCATCGTGATACTCGAACATGATCCGCAAACGCAGATCAGTATCGTCTGGAATGACAACACGTGGTGTGTCACCAGAAACGGCTGTATAGTACAGTAAACCGTTACGAGTAGTGTATCGATCTGATGCAGATCGATACGCAGACGACAATCGTTTCAACGATTCTCGAGATGGTTGGGAGAGATGTGACAACAACTTCACTATCTCACCATCTTGGGCGTATGCCCGCCTCACATCATCATACAACGTTGTAGATGGAACTGAGGACGTCATAACCGCAACAGTGACTGTCTCACTGTTGGGTTTCACGACTGGCTCAAAGTCGGGACGACGTGAGAGTGCATCAGCGACGACATTAAGTCGTCCTGGTTTGTACTCGACCGTAAAGTTGTATTCTGCAAAGAATGACAACCACCGCGCCATTCGTTGTGAAAGGTGCGGGCTGTTCACTGCCGTGCGTAATGACGCATGGTCAGTGTAAACCATGAAGGGTCTATCTCCTAATCGATAGACGCTGAACTTCGCGAGTGCACACTTCATGGCAAGGAGTTCCTTGTCATGCACTGGATAGTTCCGCTCAGCTGGTTGCAGCTGACGCGACTGATAGCAGACGACGCGTTCAACGCCTTCTAGGTCGTACTGCATTAATGCACAGCCGATTGCAAAATCGCTGGCATCACAGACCACATGAAATGGCCTGTCCTGATCGGCTATTGCTAGGACTGGGGGTTTTATCAAGCTCTGCCTGATACCATCAAAGGAGCGCTGACATTCAGCGTTCCATAACCACCTCTCGTTCTGTTTCAACAAACGAGAGAGGTGCACAGTCATCTCGGCGTGATTGCGTGAATACTTATGCAAATACGCCGATAGCCCAAGGAATTTTCGAAGACCTTTGACATCAACTGGCACAGGCCAGTCGGTGATCGCCTTGATCTTTTCGGGATCAGGACGTACACCGTTCTAACCAACGATGCACCCAAGAAGTGGTATTTCGCTTGCTGCAAATATACACTTCTTGAGGTTTGCATACAATTGATGCTTTCGCATGATTGTAAGAACCTGTCGGACGTGGTACCTGTGAACCTCAACATCCGACTTTCCATCCATAGCCCAACTATGGATGAATATGTCATCGAAATAACTCGGCGCGAATTCTCGCACTGATTTCAACAGATGCGATACACATCTGTTGAACGTGGCAGGGGCAATACTAAGCCCTTGTGGCATTACTAGCCATTCCCAGAGCATGCCGCTAGGCGTGCTCACTGCGGTATAGGGTATTTCCCGTTCCCGCATAAGGATTTGATAGAAGCCATCCATTAAATCCATGGACGAAAAGATGGTGCTCTTTGACATACCATCAATGATTACGTCCTTCCTTGGTATCGGCGTCTGAGACGGTACCGTTGCAGCATTCAATTTGTTAAATGCATGCACAATCCGCCAGCCTCCTGTTGCTTTTCGAACACAGAAGGTCGGAGAGCTACGTGGGGAAGTTGATTCCCTCACATGGCCCGCAGCTAAACGATCGGCAAAGAACTTGTCAATCGCAAG